GTGCTCACCAGAGGTAGCCTGACTGCCATTAGGTACCGAGATGAGATCCTCAGACCCCTTGTAAGACCATATGCTGGTGCGGTTGGCCCTGGGTTCCTCCTAATGCAAGACAATGCTAGACCTCATGTGGCTGGAGTGTGTCAGAAGTTCCTGCAAGATGAAAGCATTGATGCTTTGGACTGGCCCGCTTGTTCCCCAGACCTGAATCCAATTGAGCACATCTTGGACAACATGTCTCGCTCCATCCACCAACAGACTGTCCAGGAGTTGGGGGATGCTTTAGTCCAGGTGTGGGAGGAGATCCCTCAGGAGACCATCCGCCACCTCATCAGGAGCATGCCCAGGCGTTATAGGGAGGTCGTACAGGCACGTGGAGGCCCCACACACTACTGAGCCTCATTTTGACTTGTTTTAAGGACATTACATCAAAGTTGGATCAGCCTGTAATGTTTTTTTCCACTTTAATTTTGAGTGTAACTCCAAATCCAGACCTCCATGGGTTGCTAAATTTGATTTCCATTGATAATTTTTGTGTGATTTTGTTGTCAGCACATTCAACTATGAAATCAACAAAGTATTTAATAAGAATATTTCATTCATTCAGATATAGGATGTCTTATTTTTGTGTTCCCTTTATTTTTTTTGAGCAATGTATATTGTTTAAAACAGACTTCGTGTTCTTTTTCATACTGAGAGAAAATAGACAATGAAAGCCATGATCATTATGAGCCAATGTTCTGATTAATATCAATTGGTTTAAAAGCACCACATAAAATTCAATTTAAGCCCCACTATAGCAATGGTAATAGCACTTTACAGCCCTCTCTCAGCAAATATTTTCCCCAACAATCAGGGTCCTCATTTTACGGATCTCATAAGGATGGAAGGCTGAGTCAACCTTGAGCCTGGTGGGATTGCCAATCTGCTGGCAATCACCAGTCAACAGAATTAGTCTGCCATTCTTGCATTCTAACTAACCTCTGCTCTATAATCAAGCTCATCAAATTTTTAGCCAATGCATGTTACTTGTTCTTGTGATGTGCACAATATTTTGATTTAAGTTTATATGGTTGTAACAATTCTTATAACATGATTTGTCATCACATATATTAGCAGGAAGAGATCATCATCCTTGGGATTTTCTCTCTGTCATATCCTTTATATTTATTCACAGGACAGGACACTTGGCAAGTCAATGGCTACAATCAGCATATATTTGTTTTGATTCTTTTTTTTTTTTTTGATGAGACACAACCATATTCTTTTTTCCTTTAAGGAACTTCCATCCTATCTCCCAATATCAAGTGTCTCTTATTGTTCCCCTCAATGTTTAGAGTTTTATCTTCAAGAACGTGAATAGGTGAGTTTTAGCAGCTTCTATATCACTTAATTCTGATTATTATTTCCATACACTGGGCTTCTTCCTTAAGAGTTATTTCCACAGTTTAAGTGACACTACCTCCATTTTTTTAAAAAGGAAACCTAAACTTTTTTTCATTAGATGAAATGTGGCTCTTTCACAATAGTTGTGCGAATATTTTAATAATGGGGTTTTTTTCTTCAAGGACTGCTATAAGTTTTATTTGCTGAAGACATGTATCTCATTATTTTTAGGTAGAAAGACAAATGTGGCACAAACATCGAGCTGTCAAGTGCAGACTCCTCTCTGTACTCCCTAGGTTACTACCAACTGAAAAGCTTTTACTTATTTAGTCAAATTTAGAGGCTACCTGACTCCTAACAACCAGGGAGAAAGGGAAGTTACTATTTATAAACTAAAAAAATATTAGAAAAGAATTCATGAACTACCTAAAGTAATATATAAACAAATATGCCATTTAAGACAGACTCAACTATCACTCTTTCCAAAGCCTGGGAGAAAAGCACATCTTCATTAGCTTCGTAATACGTAATATATCCTTCCAATAATTTAACAATGTACTATGGTTCATAAATGTATTATGGCCGAAAAATATTTTGTATTATAACACTCTCCCAACCAAGAAACACTTATGTGAAGTTATGGAAATAAAAAAGTACTACCCCCTATAAAGAAATCCTTCAGCTAATAGTGATTCATGGTAGTGTTGTAGAGTCATATAAAATTATATATTTTAGCACGCAAACTTTTATCAAATTGTTATAGTAATCAAGATATATTATATATAATATTTTGACTGAATAATACATATTGCTAATTCCCAGAAGATCTAGCTAGTTGCATTGGAGAAGATGCTGGAAGTTATAGTTTACCAACTTCCACAAAACAACAAATTTGTAATCCCTCATGTAGGTTATGAACTGCTTAGCCAGATTTATAGTTTTTTACTACTTAGGTTTGTTCAATTTATTAAATGCAGCAGAAATAAATAAATACTGTTTGGTAATGATTTCTTGATGAGACTTCTGTAAAACTCTGAAGTTGACTAAATGACAGGAATCATACTTACCATTCATGCTCGGCTCTTTCTGTAAGTCATCTGGCTTAGTTCCAGTTTCTTCTAGCACTCCTGAATCTATAGAAGATAGTCCTCTGTGGTTTATTATCATTTCAGGTTCAGTTCTTGATGTTGGTTCGGGTTGAGGTTTTCTGCCTTCCTCTTTTCTACATCCCATATCCTTGTGTGGAGATTTTCTAGATTTGGCAGAACTTTCTGGTTCATCATCATCAGAACCACAAACAGAAATAAACTCTTCACTTCCAGAGAAAAGCTCCGATTCAGACTCTTCATCTGATCTGCTATCCTGCTTGATTTGTTCAGAGTCAAAATGTGTTTCCTGTAACGATGCCCTGATTGCAGCTTCCAACTGGCTATCTTCACTCGCATCAATTAAGCTCTCCTAATCAATAAACCATAACACAAAAGAAAAATATAAGTTACTTTAAAACTTTTCTTACCTTTGAGAAGGTGAGAGGGGAAGAGAAAGGCTCCAAATATTTTTATTTCTTTTTATTATTTTATTATACATTTTTCTTTATTATACATCATGTTTCCATTTCTGCAATGACAGTGTACTGTATCAAGTCTCTTTTAAGTATACATATTATACACCCTGATTATGACCATTATTCTCATTATACAATGTAATCTCTTTTGAATATGCATAATATTGTACACATTTATATCCATTATTTTCATAGTTATACCGCAGTCTTCACCTCTAGTTACTCTATACTTTTAATCTATAGTCAAATACAATCCAATTGTAGTATTACATATAGTATATATGCTTATGTACCTCAATATATATGTATTTACTTCTATTTTGTTAATCTTCTTTCATTATAAAGTTACTAACTTCTGCATCTGTTTTCTAACTATTTGTACAATAAGTCCCATGTTAAACAATACTGTTTCCTCTATTCTTAATTTCTATCGTTCACCTGTCCATTTCAGTGCGTTCTAATATTTTCCTTATTACTTTTTCATCTATAGGTATACTTTCATTTTTCCAATTTTGTGCACATGTGATTCTCACTGCTGTAATTACATGTAATATTACATATGTAATTCTTTTGTTGTATTTCCCTGGCAGTATACCTATTAAGAACAATTGTGGTTTTAAATCTATTTGTTGAACTGTTATTTCTTCTAACCACCCTTTTATTTTTAACCAGTATTTTTTTTGTCATTGGACAGATCCACAGTATTTTTATTTCTTATTAAGAATAAAAAAATACTGTTTTTGTCATTATACTTACTGAGCGAGTACGTTTCTGGGGAGGGCTGGTGGAATGTCCATCCAGTTGCCCATGTTCACCTAGGAACCCAGTCACTTGGTCCAAAAAAGAAGTTACATCTAACTGATGCCATTCCACTAGTTTCTGCCCTGTTAAAAATAACAATAAATTGTACTTCAGTAATTGAAAACTTAGATTATCAATATCAACACAGATGCTATTTTAAATTTTAAATTATTCTGTAGAAGCAAAAAGCATTGTGAACAAGTCAGAAGAAATGAATGGCTAACTCGAAGCTCTTAATTCAAAGTATCACAATTGCCAATTATATTAAAATGGATTTAAAATAACACAGGCAAAGCAAATTTAATTTAACATTAAATGTAAACATTAAATCTATTACACTTGATCAAGTTCATCTGATGTAGACTGAAAGCATGGCTATTTAGCCAGTTCTAGCAATCTTGCTGGCAAATATGGAAACTATAGCCTTCCCTTGTTAAATCAATGAGATTATTTATTGTGTTATATAAGAACACAGTTCAAATTTAATATGCCTTCAGCATTTTTTTCTCTTCTTACCTGTCCTGGGATCCAGGATAGACACATAAGGAAAATCTCCCAATTTATAGAATTGTATATATCTTTGTCCTTCCTCACTGTCATGGTATACCTGTACAACAGTGAAGAAGGTTCATTTAAAATGCTTGAAAACATTTGAATATTAAAGCAATTTAGTGTTTGTTAATAAAATTTGATTCTGAGGCACAATGTAACTAGTTAATGTAGTTCTACACAACCTGATATGAATAAGGCCAGAGTACATAAATATTGGCTGTTTCTAATTTTAGAGCTAAACTGAAAATAATGCCTTCGTACCTGCCAAAAAATGAAGTGTTCCCGGATAATATTTTTTACAGCATCATTGCTCCAAACATCACGATTGAGACACTGACAGGCAAAATCCTGCACATTCTGAATATTAATCATGAGCCATTTGTTCTGCATTTGACCACACTCTTTGGCCTGAAGACAAAAAGAACATTAAGAACATTAGCTAAAACAGAAAAGTTTTCAAAAAACAATGCCAGCAATGATGGCTTCTATTTATTATTCTAGGCTATTATAAACACCTTTTTCATTTGTTAAGTTGTATCAAGACTCAACAATACACAAACAAGCATGACAAGCAGCGTGCAGGGTTAGAAGTCTCTGCAGTCAACTTGTCATATCAAGATTACACATTGGTAATCTCAGACTGATGAGTGTGTTAACATGCCAAAGAGAGAGAGTTAGGAAGATAAACTTTAATTTCAAAACTGACTGAAAATTGGGAAATAAATGAACAAAACAGTAGAAGAAAATATGGAATGAGCTGCATTGATCTGATTACAAAGCAGATTATCTGATTCAACAGTCAAAATTTGGCAGATTAGGATTAAGATTCTTGATAGATTTGCAGTTTGTTGTTCAACTATTCATTTCCTCTAATTTACCATTCATTCATATATGTTATATTGTAGTATTATTGGTGAACTTTTTGTTGACCAGATTGCAATTGGGGGAAGTGGCAGGGTTTGAAGTTGCAGGAAGAGATCTTACTGGTTTGAGTCTCAAAGCTGGCATTGCCTGATTGGTTGGTTGCAAGTTAATGTAGGAGTTTGATCAAGAATGTAATTCTGATCGCTGAATTGTCATACCTGTTGAAAAAAAGAGTGCTATATCAAAAATTGGAATGGTCATATTTCCTAAATAACCAGGACAAAAATATGTGGGATTTCCTTAAAGGAAATTTACTCATGAGTTTAATTATTTATGAAAAGAAACACAGATTCATGAGTATCCCTTTTTGACTTTGCATCTTGGAAAATGAGATTTCACTTTTAAAAAGTGAAATATCTGATCCATTGGCCATAAATAAGCAACACAATGGACACAGAAGCACTCACCTATATTGAAATAAAGCAATATAGAACACAGTTTTCACTAGGATTTTATAGCAAAACATCTTTCTCAGGTCAACCACTAAAACAATATTGTAGTGGAGACATTTCAGTGCCAAATAAATATATGTTTATTTATTATTGGAGGGAAAGATAATTTGAATAGCCATTTTGATTGAAAGACAAAATTTATATAATCTTATAATAATCTTATATATTGCTTTTGAGAAATTTACAAGTAAATATGTATAAATTGTGTGTACAGTCCCAGTTCAAACTTCATTTTGTAAATAGATTCTGTAATATTTTTGCAAGACCCAAGCACCAATGAGATCCTTTCTTTCACTCATGGAAAAATGTGCACAAAAATAAGCCTGGAATTTTGAAAGTAGGGTTTTCAGTTTTATACGAGCTTTTAGGTTAAAAACAAAGTATTTATTAGTTTAACAATTTTTTGTTTATTAATTTTTTAATGGATCACTAATGTAGATTTTCTTTTATTTTGACAACTAATTAAGCATTTAAATAGAATTTATCAATGGCAAGACATACTATAAATTAAATAAAAACCAGCATTAAAGTTACTGTGTTTTACTGTAATTTTAGTGATTATTTAAATTTCTGTTAATATGTAAATTTGTATTATAATTTTTCTTTATTTTTTGGTGATGGAAAAATGACCATTCTACAGTTAAAGTTGTGTTAATAAACTCTTTTCCTGAATTAAAATGAAAATATTTCTTCTCAGTAATTTTATTCTGTATTGGAGATTAAGATTTTTTCAGGCACTAATAATTGCTATGACAATTAAAATGATAACGTGCCAGAAACCACTTGAACATCTGAAGAAATATTTTAAGAGAATTGCCTCAGAACAGATTATTGTATCAGGATTACAATATAACATATTGATCCAGGATGTTAATCAACTATCCAAGTACTGGAGTAAGCCAACATCATAATAGTAAAAGGTCTGATCTTCTCCATTAGTTACATGAATGAAATGTATGGTAAATGCATTACTATAATATAACCATAACAAAATATAGAAAATCTCAAAAAATGCACGTATCAACTAAAATAATCTGTATTTTTATGACTTGTCTTAAAATTATAAAACTTAGTTGATTTAGTAAATACATTGTTTCCCTATTGATGCTGACTTTTTTTCAACATGCTTAATATGGCTGATTCATTTTTTAATGTATTTGAATTTGACATATGAATTCAGGATAACAAATCTTGCTTATAAACCGAAGATGCTTCTTGGATGAGAAACAAAACGTCTTCAAGGAAAAATAACAAAGTCCAATTTCGTTTTGAAAAAGCACATTTGGGACTTGCTTATAAAACTTATAGTGAAGTAAGTTATGAGCATGACATAAAATGGAACTAAAATATGTTTTATGTTTATCTGAAATAGCTGTAGCACTCAGAGAATTCAATGTACATTTTATTGGGCTCTCCCATGCTATGGAAATAATTCAGAGAAGACGCTTCACAATGTGCAAAGATACAAAGATAGTACTGGTTCCAGCTCTTAAAGCAACTGTAACTTTTACTGGGATTGTGCAACAGCTGCATAGTACTATTTTCTGCTCCAGAAAAGGAAACTAAACAAAGCAAATGCCTTTTGTATTGCTTGTTTCTGCAGTGCAATAATGTTTATATAGGTTCACTTATCTGGCACTCATAAAACTACATATAAATTTGTTAAATAAATACTTTTTAGAAGAAACAGAAGACTTAATAAATAAGTAGTAATAAATGCTAAAGCAATTGAAAAATTTAACACAAACCTGACAGGTATTAAATCTACAGCCTGGTGTTTATAGCTTAATTAAAATATTTTACTCAGAAGGTAAATAAGGATTCTACTTTTTCACACTGGTTAAAAGAAACTAAATTACGTGCCATGAATGTATTTTTAATAAAACTCTTATACAGTTATATTTGAACATGAGTTGTATTTTTAATTGCATATAGAATAACAATAATGAGCAGATATATATTGATCAAGTTTAAAAACTTAAAATCTGAACCCCCACTCAGAAAAAAATTCTTGAAAGCTTAATATAAAGCACAAAACCATCTTAAGCAACTATTTATGGCTTCTCAAAACTATTCATGCACTCTTAACATACCACAAACCCATCATAATTGTTTACGTGTGTGAGAAGCTTTGCTAGAAAATACAACTTCTTGTATGCAGTAACATATTATTTTTCAATAATGAAGGAAGAGCAAATGATTTGAGAAGAAAGACTGAAAAGGGAATCGATTAATCTGTGGACAGATGTGGAAGCTAGGATAGCTGGCAACAATATTAGGAGAAGATATAGTGATTCCTTTCTTTTTTACTTAACTCCTGTTATTTTGTTTACTACTTTTTACTTTTTTCTGCACTTTCCACAATGTTCTTTAATATGGAAGGGAACAGAGTGATGACTATGTGTGTATGGGGAGAAAAAGGTCTATTTTGATAAGTTCCTATATCTAACTTGGTTAATGGTAAACTACGGTAGAAAATAGTTAAAGACCACATATTATTAAATAAATAAATAAGCTTCTTAAATATGTGGTCAATCCCATTTTATGAAAATTCAAATTATGAAGTAAATAAATTGAAAATACAGTGCTTAAAGTAAAACTCAATGTTATGATGTAAATCAAACAAAAATACCAGATTCTGCCTTAAGGTACTAAAAACTAAGGTGATAAAATATTAATACTAGAGATAATGCAGAATAGAGACTTTTAAATTAAACAAAGCACAGCAGATTAGTTATAGTAAGTTGAGGATTGTGAGCCTCTAAACACATTCAAATATAGATGTATATTTACGTAGAAAAGAAAGAAGTAACATAGTGAGAGAGCTTTAGATTTTTCTAATGCTTCACTGAACATGATTGAGAAAAAAACCTCTGGATTTAGTATATGTTTACAGACAAATAGTACACTGCCTCAAGGGCAATCAAGTCTTGATAGGAAAATTAACTCTGAAAGTGACTTCAAATGCAAGTAAATGATATAAAAAAGCTGATATTATTTTCACATATAAATGCTGCACAAAATGTATTACTTTTGAATAAGCTTATTTCCATTTCCCCCTTGATGCAACAAGAAAATTGTTGCGCGGGGGGGCGGGGGGGGGGGTAGGAAATCAGGAATTTCTCTCGTGACTTTTTTTTGTAAATTCTACTCCAAGAGTTTTTAATTTTTTCAACAGGTTCATTTAATATATATTAACACCAGGAAGTATAAGGAATAGTTTAAAGCAGGGGTGTCCAACCGTGGCAACTTTAAGACTTGTGGACTTCAACTCCCGGAATTCCGGGAGTTGAAGTCCACAAATCTTAAAGTTGCCAAGGTTGGACACCCCTGGTTTAAAGATTAGTAACTTAGCAAACTGTTATCTGCTTCAATTTGCAAAATCCAAATATACAGTTCCAAGTTTATTAACCAAATAATAAACAATGAACAATCAAACATTCAAGATTTGGTTTTACACAGATTATTATACTGATCACTGGCTATTCCACTACTGTTTAGTTTGGTCATATTTTTCTCCAGTAAAAATCTTTCTCAATCATGTCATACTAGAGCTCTTAATTTTTAATGTAAAGGAGACAATGTGGTATATTTTTGAATTATAATTCAAATTGCATTAGTGTAATATACAACAATATAGTAGAATACAATAATGTAGTATTAAATTATAATTCTTTCTACAAGAATTATAGGAAATGATTGATTAGATTTTTAAACTCAGAAATAAAGACCAATCCTTAGTTTATGTATATAGCTTGTCATTAGAAAATCATCATTTAATTTCATATTATTCAAATCTATTTCTTAATCACTAACTTCCATTTGAATACTTCTTAATGAGGGAACACAGTAATGGACTAATGGATATAATCAAAAGATACTTCTTCAAATGATGTTATTAATTAGAAGCAACTTCTTATATTGCAGTAATAAAACAGGCAGATTGCTGGAATTATTTATACACATTATCATGATATGACTGTTTACACATGCACATGCACAGCTATACCAAAGCCAATCCAAAATTCAATGCATCAAAATGACCTACTGTTTCAAAGCTTCCTTTATGCATCAGATCAATTGGAGGCCTGAAGAGATCTGCAAGGGTAGTGAGCTTTTTATCTATGGCTCCTCCATTTCTCAATTCTTGCTCCTGCCGAACTGTACAGCCCCAAAGAAAAACAAAGAAGACAAAATATTCACAAGAGCAGATTCAGTTACTTTCATCAAGTGCAATGTGACTGTACTAATGTGATTAGCCTGAATCAGCTTTCTACTAAATATCTTTTAGTAAGAGCCATTACATGGTTATACATTTTTTGCCTGAAAGCTGACAGTGTGACAATCTGGCCCTAGGCTAGTCACTCTCTCTCAGCCCAACTTACCTACCTCACAGTTGTGGGGAAAATAGAAAACAGGATTATGTATGTATGTTCGTCACTTTTGGTTATCTGTCTGTCTGTCTGTCTGTCTGTCTATCTATCATTATCATCATGTTCAGTAATAAAACATAAGGCATTGCAGAGTAGGATGGAGATCATTCAATGGCTCCTATGATGTGTTGTTGCCAGGGCATGGTGTTATTTTATTATGTATGATTCTCTCTTTTATTAGTTTTGTTTTTATATGTTTTTATATTCTTGTAAGCTACCTTTTGTTGCCATGTGCAAGTAGGTGGCAATATAAATCTCCTAAATAAATAAATAAATTCTAAATTTGTGATTTAAATACAGAATATTTAAATATTACAGAATTATAGTTTTTGGTCTCCTGGCAAAGACTGTTTTGTTCCCTTCCTTTAATATCAATGCAATGTGTTAATAATTAACCAGCTCTTTTTAAAAATATATAGTAATTAAAATATTGGTTTCCAAAAAGTTAGGTATGAATAGTAAATCTCTATAGTATCCAGTTTTTACTCCTTTCATCAAATTCTTGCCCTTCTTCATGTGCACCTTTTATCTACATATAAAATCTGGAATGGACTTGGGATGGTTTAGCCCATTCACTGTGCAGATATTTCTGTATACAGTGCCAACTACTTGGTTGTGCCATATAGTATATGGTGTTTCTGCTTACATTGGATAACCTGCCGCTATATATTAAGACTGTGTCTGAAGCGTTCTACATTACTTGCACATCATATCCTGTCTGGTTTGGTATACCGCTGCTTCTATAGATCTGGTACTTAATGCCTGTTCTTGTGCTGCTATGATCAGTGCCTCATTGCTGCCTTTAGTACAGCCCTTTCCAGCCACTGGTAGGATTACCCAATGTCTGTCACCTCAGGTATTTGTCTACAGCATGGCTGTCAAATTCCTGGCCTATGGGCCGGATGCATCACACGCTGGCCATGCTCACACCTGTTTAGCGAAGGGGGAAAAGTCCCAATACGTTCTGTGATGCTGCCATGACTACGTGAGTTTGACACCGCTGGTCTATAGTATATCCTATGCAGAGTCTTATCTTACTATGGCACTTCCTCTCCTTGATCTTCCTCCTATGTTTGCTGCTGCCGCCTCATTTTCTCAGCAGCTGATGTTTGGGTGCCATCTTAGTGATGTACTCCTGGATGCTCCAAGTTTCATCCAGGACAATAGTTCTGACATTCACCAGACCCCGCCTGCCCTTTTTCCAGCTGGTGTGCATTCCCTGGGTAATGGACTTGGACTGGAAACCTCCATACATCGTGAAGAGCTTCTGGGTATTCACATCAGCAGTCTCCATATCCGCCTTTGGCCAATTTATTATATTCGCAGGGCATGCATGTTGATGGGATGGATCTTATTCTTTCCATTAAGCTGGCTCTTTAAGACCTGTCTAATCCTTTGGTGGTATTTGGATGCTGCTATCTTCCTTGCCTCTTCATTGTGGTTCCCAAGTGACTGCAGGATACTAAGGTACTTGTAGCTAGTCTCTATATCTGCTATGTGACTCAGATAGTTTCATCTCATCAGTCTGAACTATATGTGCAATTGGAACTGGAAATCTGATAAAAAGTCATTATCTTTTTTGCAGTGGTCAATAGTATGAAATTGACAAAAAATGCCAGAAAGCAGCAAAATACATTATCAATCTCAGTCATGTGGAATGCTGTGACCTGCTCTAAAGGTCACAATCATTTGATGGCTGGAGGTGCTTCACAGGCTGAATGTTCACACCTTTTTGTATTTCCACCAACTGACTAATCTCTTGCCAAATTGCCTTGAATATAGCTTCTAATCTCATTTTCCACAGCTGCAGGCACCATTCTCCTTAATTGTGTAACTAAGTATCTCAAGGATTACAGTACTAAATTCTATACTAATGTATTGGTTTCAGTTATGGTGATAACAGAGATTGTTATGAGGGAGTCTTCTAGGATACTATCAGATGGTACTTCTCCACTGAGCCTTGGTAACCAGTCCCAAGGGTTAACTATAGTTACTTTATCTGTGATCTTATGCCTCATATTATCTGTTGTGCTCTATAATGGAGGGAGTGGCAGTGGCGATCCAACTTCAGGTGTTGGCTGCACATCCATTTGTTCTTCCAGTTCTTCTTAAGTCTGGGTTGTAACATGTAGTTGATCTACTTCAAGTTATGAGAGCAGCTTCCTCATTGCTATGTTGAAACACTGGGTAACTAGCCATTTCTCAGTTAGTGTGGATGAATGGATCTTTTGTACATCATAGTTCCCTTATATTTCATATATCTTCTCCCATTAGGTCTAGCGTTCCACTAGCATTCAATCAATTCCAGGTTATATAATATCATACCATAACTATGACTGCATGTTTCCTACTATAATGATTCATTATTATTTGTGAACTTGCTCTTATTATCCAATATGTATTGTTACTATTTCTTCCATCACTTAATTACATTCTCAATTGTTTAACAGTAATAGCAAAACAATCAAAAACACTATTACAGTGTTGAATGCTGGTAATACTGGACATTAAATATAGAGAAAAAAACAGAAAAATCAGTTTTCAAATATATTTAAATGAAGTTTCTATCCATATGGTTGAATGTCAAAAAACAAAGGCATTCAGTGAACAAAACCACTTTTCTCAGGCATGACTTGTTTTATATGCATGGAATAATTGATGACTTGATTCTTCCTTTACACTGAATCCAAAGGACACATTTTTTTGTATTAATGAAAAGCGGGGTAAATGTGCTACTCAACATTAGTAAATGCATTTTTTATATAACAGAAATAGTAAAATTATCTCATAATTTAAATAAAATTAACCAAATTGATTGCAAAATTATTCACATCAATGTAATGATGCTTTTGAACTCATATCAATGTAATGAAACCTCTGAAAGAACTGGATTAAAGATTCTGATCATTACTGAATTAAATTCTCAGCTTATTCTTGTTCATGATGTATTTGTGCTGTTGCAATGAAGTGGATGGAAAGGTTGCTGGAAGCATGTTGCTTTTGTAATGATGATGGCACGCATCAATAACTCCAGCCCTTTTTTCAATCTGAGAAATTATTTTTCCAATGTGGAATCCCATGAATACATTAGTTACTGCAATTAAACTAGTTTTCAAATCCTAATCATAATAAAAACTAAGGTAAGGAGAAAGGGCTCAATATCTGGTGAGTTCACCCAGTTTTCTGACTGTAATATCAAATTGGCTTGCCACTGCTGCTTTTTTTTTTTACTTGCCATTCTAGCTTTTAATCCCTGAAATGAACTGGGATTTTTCTGACTGCACCTACATTTTCTTATGCTGACAAAGAGATTATTCGTACTTCAAAAACTGTATCTTCCTTGGAAAACAATGTCTTGCACATATGGAAATATAAAGCATTTACTGTGTGAATATAGCAATGGCTTTGATTTTTTTTTCCTTGCTAGTATTGCAAAATTCTTATAATGCAAAACGAAATTGTTTGAACTCTACTGTAGAACCATTACTAAAAGTTCTAAAGAGCCTATACTGTTACCCTTGGACATAAACCATAAAAAAAAAGTTATGAATATAATTATCCACAGATACCTACTAGTTTCTGTCTGGAAATCCCGAAAGCCATCAAATATTGAACGAGCTGGTCTACGTCTTTTTGGTGCTTAATAGGAACAGAATTTAATAAACAGATTAATAATAAAATCTTATTATACAGCCACATTGTGGATTTGTGGTACATATCTATAGTAAAGGATGTAAACAAATTCTAGGACACCAATAATGCATCATACTACTTTCATACATGAATTCATTAGATCTTATGTTTCCAGTTCCTGCATGCTTATCTTAATGTATATTTGAAGACAAAATATTTACAGGTTGCTATTCTATCTTAATGCTTTTAAAGCAGTTTATGGACTCAAAATAAATTAAATTTGTCCCTCTACCCACTCAAAAAGTTTAAAATCAGAAAGACTGGAACGGCAATATCCATTGGTATCCATACAATGGCAAGCCAAAAGTAAAATTAAAGGGCAACTAAAGTAAACCAATTGTCACAACCGAATCAAAATCTGCAATGTGCAGGCCACATAAATATAAGGAAGGTATTAAGAACGGCTGGTTTGTGATGTAATTATAACTTACAGAACATATTATCTGACCCATGATTGCTTTTGTTCTCTTCTATTGTTCCATCAGCCATACTATCCAAAGCAGTCCTGCTCAAATTTCTTAGTGAAATGCTATTATCTTTGAGTCACGGAACATAAGGGTTAGGAGGGATCTTGGACATAGGCATAGAATAATGGAGTTGGAAGGGATCTTGGAGGTCATCTAGTCCAACCCTCTGCTTGAGCAGGACAGTCTATTCCAAATATTAGCTTCTACCTAGGATCGAAGTCAGAGCCTCCTGATTGTGAGGCAACAGCTCCACCTCTAGGCCAAGTCAGTGGAAGAGTATATTTCTACAATCTTTGCTGTAGGAATACTCCAGAGCTTGAAAACAAATCTTGAGACTGTTTCACTATTCATTTTATCAATGGCAGACATTATTTATATTAATACCATTATAACATGTTTACTAATGCATAATTACCTTAGAAAAACCATCAGTGTCACAGTAAAAACTTGATAGTCATATAAAAGTTAAAAATCTACTGTAACTCTCTCAGATTTGGTCACAGAAATATTTCTTCATTTCAATTCACTTGCCCTTGTAGATATGAACAGATTTTACATTCTAAATGTATGTATGCCTAAATAACTGACTAGTCGCTTAATTTTATACCTGTCAATTCAGAAATAAGCCTCATTAATGCTGCTGGAACTTTATAGTACACTGCTCAAAAAAATAAAGGGAACACTTAAACAACACAATGTAACTCCAAGTCAATCACACTTCTGTGAAATCAAACTGTCCACTTAGGTAGCAACACTGATTGACAATCAATTTCACATGCTGTTCTGCAAATGGAATAGACAACAGGTGGAAAGCATAGGCAGTTAGCAAGACATCCCCAATAAAGGAGTGGTTCTGCAGGTGGTGACTACAGACCACTTCTCAGTTCCTATGCTTTCTGGCTGATGGTTTGGTCACTTTTGAATGCTGGCGGTGCTTTCACTCTAGTGGTAGCATGAGACGGAGTCTACAAGCCACACAAGTGGCTCAGGTAGTGCAGCTCATCCAGGATGACACATCAATGTGAGCTGTGGCAAGAAGGTTTGCTATGTCATTCAGCATAGTATCCAGAGCATGGAGGCACTACCAGGAGACAGGCCAGTACATCAGGAGACATGGAGGAGGCCTTAGGAGGGCAACAACCCAGCATCAGGACCACTACCTCCACCTATGTACAAGGAGGGACAGGAGGAACACTGCCAGAGCACTGCAAAATGACCTCCAGCAGGCCACAAATGTGCATGTGGCTGCTCAAACGGTCAGAAAAGGACTCCATGAGGGTGGTATGAGGGCCCGATGTCAGCACAACTCCGTGCAGGACATTTGGCATTTGCCAGAGAACACCAAGATCAGCAAATTCGCCACTGGCACCCTGTGCTCTTCACAGATGAAAGGTTCACACTGAGCACATGTGACAGACGTGACAGGGTCTGGAGACGCCATGGAGAATGTTCTGCTGCCTGCAACATCCTCCAGCATGACCAGTTTGGCAGTGGGTCAGTAATGGTGTGGGGTGGCATTTCTTTAGGGGGCCATGTCCTCCATGTGCTCGCCAGAGGTAGCCTGACTGCCATTAGGTACCGAGATGAGATCCTCAGACCCCTTGTCAGACCATATGCTGGTGTGGTTGGCCCTGGGTTCCTCCTAATGCAAGACAATGCTAGACCTCATGTGGCTGGAGTGTGTCAGAAGTTCCTGCAAGACGAAAGCATTGATGCTTTGGACTGGCCCGCTTGTTCCCCAGACCTGAATCCAATTGAGCACATCTTGGACAACATGTCTCGCTCCATCCACCAACAGACTGTCCAGGAGTTGGGGGATGCTTTAGTCCAGGTGTGGGAGGAGATCCCTCAGGAGACCATCCGCCACCTCATCAGGAGCATGCCCAGGCATTGTAGGGAGGTCATACAGGCACGTGGAGGCCACACACACTACTGAGCCTCATTTTGACTTGTTTTAAGGACATTACATCCAAGTTGGATCAGCCTGTAATGTTTTTTTTCCACTTTAATTTTGAGTGTAACTCCAAATCCAGACCTCCATGGGTTGCTAAATTTGATTTCCATTGATAATTATTGTATGATTTTGTTGTCAGCACATTCAACTATGAAATTAACGAAGTATTTAATAAGAATATTTCATTCATTCAGATCTAGGATGTCTTTTTTTTTTGAAGGTTTTATTTGGGTTTTCACATACAAAAAAACCTTAATACAAATAAAACATATTTTTTTGAAAATAGCATGGTCCCGGGTTACACTTCATACAGACACAAACTCAATTTCATGCTCATTTTTGTGTTCTATTCCATATCTTATTCCTGTTTTACATTTTCTACATAGTTTTTCCCCTCTGTTAATTTTCTCAATTTTATTTTGATTATCTCATCTCAATTCAAATAATTATATTTATACTTTTGTCTGTCCTGTTTCAATTTCATATTATCTTCTCTCATTAAACAAATTTTCTCCTGTACTTACTAATTGGAGTATGACACCTTTATATCTTTTCATTTTATCCATTCAACTCTTATTTAAGCTTCAATGTATACCTTAAGGTTATAACATTCAATATAATACATAACTTCCAATCGAATTCTGCTTGGTACATTCTTAAAGAGAGATTATAAATATATGTAATTAAAACACTCATTCCATTCCAATTCAGTTCTATCATTAATATTCATTAAAATCTTAACATCTTTAACATTTCTTTTCAATTAAATATCATACTTCCTTGGGAACACTTATAAGCTTTCCATAATTAATTTCCCCCCCATTTCTCTTCACTTATATTTTATAAAACATTAAATAATTAGAATGTTCCCATAGGATGTCTTATTTTTGTGTTCCCTTTATTTTATTGAGCAGTGTATATATTCAAAGGATAGATATTGTGGAGACCCATTAACATAGGAAGAAGTTGATATTTGGCTCATTTAAATTGCACAAAAATGATTCAGCTGATGCTATCTATTTAGACTTTTCAAAACGACCTAATAAAGTAGAAAACTGCAAATAGTCAGGTGTTTTCAGGGTGCAGAAACTGCCCCAAAATATGAAATAGTTGGACTAAATAGTTAATTTTCAAGTTGGGCAAATATTCAATGGGATCCCATAGGGATCAGATCTGGTGGAGTATTTTTATATTTATTTCTGGGCAATTAGGAGTTAGCAATGAACAGGAAGATAGCCAAGTTTCCTTATAATATTATGTAATTGGCCTGGTGAAAACAATGGGTTAAATGAAGATCTTCAAGTGAATCTTTACACTTATTTAATATTTTAATGTGGCTCAAAATGAGAAAGTGCTAAGTTGCATTCTGGCAGAAAAAATACAAACTTCACTTATGGAGTCTCCTAGGACAGTAACTGATCAGAAAAGGGTAGTACAAAGGAAACATCTAAATACCAGTAGTAGCTACTATAAAAATGGTAACCTCTGTGTCTGGAATGATAATGAAAATAATCAGTTAACATACTATTGCTTTATAGAAATCCACAGTGAGACCATGCCACAGACAAAAGTGGATTAAAATAGACATTTTGACCAATTGGCAAGACAAAAGAACTGTTCTTAACTAGTCTCTTACAGACTAGTTTTTGCAGTCATTTTTTTAGATTCAAGTCTGATGGAAAATAATACATGTAGCAATATGATTCCTATCATTCTCACCAACATTAATGTAAGTTGCAGAAAGGCAACTTGTGAAAATGATTAGAATGGATAGGTACAACATATTCAGAAAGAATTCAAATCACTTGGGATAGGTTCAGTATATGGTGGAAAACAACAATGTGGAAAAAGAAGCCGCAATGGGGAACAATCCATTTTTTATGCTGGTGTTCTGTTTCTTAAATGGAAGATTTGGTTAAATCTTCCATTCAAAATTGGAAATTACCTCAGAATCCAAATCAACCGCACAACCAGAGACAGCATCGACCCTCAACCAACCCATGCAATTCCCCCCCATCAGCAGTTCACCTCCCGACAACACTGACCTGAGGTAATCTCCTTATCACAAGACCCATCACAAGACTCATTGATGATTCACAGCTGACCTGTCACAGGACCCTCATTTGACATACCCACACCTGAAGCCCTTATAAACAGAACACTGACACTGACATCCCCTAAACTCCCCAGAAGATGTAACCTAGCCTGGTAACAAAACATTTGGAAATCAACCTACATGCTTGGAGAACGAACCTTTAATCTCAAGATTTGGTTAGTTGGAGTTTGCTTCTGAATTCGGCCAAAAGAATGCCTGAAGCCTAGTAAGCTGATTCTACATTGGACCTGCTGCACTGAGCTGTATGTTCAATGTTGTGGCTCCCATAACCATTTGACTGATCTTCTGGATTTGAAGCAACATGGTGCATGGATGACTTCATCCAAAAGTTAAATCTCTTGCACAGTGAAGCACTCTGCATTTTGTTGTGAAATTACTGTTCCTAGAGAAAAGAAAGGATGTGGCCATCCTTGGAATTTCAAAATCATCCCCAGGGTAGAACAGCAGCCACAATAATGTTCTTATAGCTTTTAAACTGTCAGTGGGGAGCCAGAGGTAGAAATTCTGCCAATTTTTCTACTTTGGGGATTCAGAAGATGAAATAGTGATTGCTGCATGGCTGTACTTGGGTTGGGACAAAGAAGAAAACATGCCATATTGAGGAGACCACTGGAGAGGGCTAGAGAACTCTTGGCTTTATAAAAAGCCTTGGGTACATTGCTGACCAGTCTGGAGCATTGTGGGGCCTGGTAATCGAGAGGCTCTTACAAGAGTCATCACTGTGCCAACTAAAACACAAATAACTCCAATGGGGTGAGCTATGGACTTTGAACAGAGCTATCTCTAGCTGGGAGACAAGACTGGCAGTAGAAAGGCTCCTAGCCCTGTTGCTGTGAGAATGTGCTCATTGTGGAAGCCCTATGAGCTGGAATTTATGTTGGAAAGATGATAGGTAGTTGCAACTGGGGACTGAGGAGGATTGCTTGTAATAGCAGTGCCATACTTCTGGCCTTGGATTTGGTTAGTATGTTGGTTGTTGCAAATGTTATTGAAAATTAATGATTATTTGTATCTCAACTGTAATGATTTGAAAGAGGGCGAAATCAGTTGGGCTGTTACAGGACAAAGGAAGTTATCAGTTGCAAACATATCTTCTTATAGAGTAATTGTGTACCCAGGTGCTACGCAGTTGGGAAGAGCTCCCCAGGCACCAAGGAGACTGTACATTAGAAAAATCCCTATTTTGTCTCTGTGGCCAACTAATAAACAGAATTTATGACAGCTTGAGATTAGAACCCATTCTGGTACAAAGAACATCCTTTCTTTGAGGGTCATCATGAAGCAAGTAAGTGACTGCAATGAAGATTCTGTTACGGTCTAATTGTTTGATAAAGAAGACAGGGCTTCTTAAACAAACAAAAAAAATACTATGTACTTAAGAGTGGTGATGGTGGAGGAAATATGTATAAGCAACAAGAAATGGTGAGCATGAGTGAATGAGACATAATGAATTTGTGATACTTTTGAAAAAGAAGAATATATAATCATTCTACCCAACCTCCTATTACCATGCACTCCTGAAAAGAATAAACCAAAAGATAGGTGGCTCTTTCCTAATCACTCTGGTGGAAAGATGCCAGGACTTTTTATCCCCATGCTTTCTGTATTAATAGAGCATAGCATGTATCATAGATTTTACGTACCAAGAGATACATGTTCAAAACAGATATAATTATAAAATCCATTCTATTATGACAAGCTATTTTGTGTCTGACTGCACGAAGGTATAACCTATTACTTTGTTGGGTCATAATCTAGTGTAGCATAATCAGATTTTTTTTAAAAAAAATAAACAAATCCAAGACTCACTTATGATAATAAACACAAAGACTCCCAAATTTTCCAGGCTGAATTACCATACTTTCAGGACATATACACTGTCATTTCCAAATCCAGAGAAAAATCTACTGTACATAACAGAAATATATATCTTCTTAAACAGAATCTTATTAGGAATTATTATAGTGATATTAATACTCCTCTACCTCAGTTTTTTATTTACAAAATAAAAGCAGTAACAGGAATGAACTAATAAAAATAATGTCAGACTATTTTAGTGGGTATTTAAAAAAAGTTGTCTGTTATGCATATTTTTCATACTATAAGATCTCACCATCTTCATTGTAAGGACAACGTAGAATTTCTGTTCATTCTTTGAAGACCAAATGTAAACATAAAAAAGAAGCTTACCACCAAATAAGGGTTCGGGTTCTACCAGAATTTCTTGTTTTTGAGGAATAGGTGCCCTCACTTCATCTCTATGAAGACAAAAAGCACATAATAGCTTGAAAATGTCAGTATTACTTAGGCAAGAGGAAAATCTGTTCTTCGTACCTATATTGAAACCATGCAATGGCATTCAAACTATTATGAGGAATAAGAAAAGAATGTATGGAAATTATCTTATGATTACACAAAAGGAAAAAGTGTTCAAATATCTGGACCTAATCTTTACCATTTTATGTCAGGAACAAGACAAAATTTCTGACCTGTTTGCACACTTTCATTTTAATAAATCTTTATTAAAAAGGTAAGTGAAGAGTCAACCTGACTACAATTGGTTGAAAAATATTAAAATTAGTTCTTAAATTAAACCAGTATATATTCCTTGGAAAGCACATAAACTAGCAATTATTCCAAATGCCTCTTGACAAATGAGCAATAAGCAATTGTTAGGAATTCCAGTGGTGTCAGCTTCATTTCTACAGTTTTCAACTAAAACAATTTTTCAATCCTTCTAGACTGGATGCATGGGGGAGTGATGCTCAATGGTTAAAGACACTGAAAAGCTGACAGCCCAAGTCCAAGACCTGCCCTGCCATTACTTGTCCGTCGTTTGGACACCGCTGGTACCGTAGGCTAAGAAATGGAGATAAACTCTGTCCCCACAGAGTCAGACAAGACTGGAAAGGGGAAAACTTTCCGTTTAGACTGGATGTGAGAGCTTTTTGTGTCTAATAGTATTTGCAGGTGCTATGCAATTGAGTATTGTTTAATAGAGCAAATGAAGGAGGAGAAATTTTATGGAAACAAAATAATCCCCCAAAAGGAGGCAAAATATCAATTCTAGATGGTAGTGCAGATACTGGGCAAATGGAATATTGGAGTGTTATTATACAAAATATAGATGAACTACAATCAACTGCAATGACACTGAAGGTCTAGTTTCCAAGATTGGTATTCGTGCAAAGGGAAACATTGCCAATGTTTCAATATAGGTATGAAGAACATAAAAGATAAGTCAAGCACAAATTAGCAAGAAAAAAAGAAATTTATATAGAATGCAATTCCATAATTAAGTTTTTTATTTGTACTTCACCAATTCCATAAAAAATTACTTACATAAGAAAATATTAAATAAACTATTTAATATTCCATGCCTTGATTTGAAACCCGCCCCAAAAGACCCAATAAATTCTATTTCCTATAAGGATCTGTGAAACTGAAGATTTAGTACTTTCTCCAAAACCTTCCCAAGAGAGGAGAACATCGGAGTTCAGCCAGTAGCTGTATCACACAATTGGATCAAGAAATGGTCATTTTAGAAGGAGACACAATACTGCTTCCTTCAAGACTAAAGGCATCAATCTTGTCTGCAGTAAAGTATCATCTACCTCTCAGATCCATCCACACATATCCCACCCAGCCATATAAATCAGTCAAGTGGGGAATAGCAGAATTTATGCTGCAGGTTTATTTTGTTCCTTAGTCTCTGAAAATTCAAAAGAATCCAGATAAACTAGAAAGATGTTGCCTGAATCATTATGCTGGAATCATTATACTGGTCTCTGTTAATTTTATTAATTAGCAGTGGTAATACAAGTCTCACAAAGGACCTGTGCTTTAAAAGTTTTGATGATTAAGTAAATACCCAGAGCAACAATAGAAGCAGCTGCATAAGAAAAACTAAGAACTTAAAAGCAAAAATATCTGAAATATACGTACAAATTTCAAAGCTAATTTAATTATCCTCTTTACGTACTCTGTATGTGGTCGCAGATTTGATACACTTGCAGAACTAGTGCTGGGTTCTTCAGCAATTCCTCCACCATCAAGGAACATAGTTACAGCCATTTCCAGATTATTGTTACATGCTTCAAGCATATGTTTGCCTGCACTTTCACTGGCACCTATGACACAATGAAAACTGTATTAAGTTTCAACAAAAGCTTTAAAAGAAAGAGAAAAAATATATTAATAAAGTGTATATAATGTATTTTTCCAATAGACTAAATATTTTATATATTAAAACTAGACAATCCAGCCATGTAAATACTTTATTCTGTTTTGTTGCTTTTGTATTCTTAATGATTTATGAAGACATCCTACAATTTTCTTGGAAATAATATTGAGGTGGTTTGGCTAGATTTTTCTGAGAAGTTTTTCAACTAGGGCTGAGAGACCATGGCCTAAGGTCACTTACTAGTTTCTGTGTCTGAGGCCAGTCTAGAATATGGGCCATCTTAATTCTATAATTTTCCCTTTTTTGCATGATGAAAAGTGTGTGTGTGTGTGTGTGTGTGTGTGTGTGTGTGTGTAGTTTACCAATAATAAAACCATTTCAATACAATTTTCTTTGCCAGATTTTAGTATACTCTGTCATTATCTCCTCTCACACATCCTTTGGAGTATTCAATGGAGTATTCCTATGACATTTAGTCCAAGGAGAACAATCTAATCCTTTCAACCTGGAAACACTTCCGCACCCCACCCCACCCCGACACGACTGCATCTATGGAGGACTCTGGAGTATATGCATGTCTCATATTATCTTAATTCTGAAGCAACCAGAAACACACAAGAAGTTTGAGGAGTTTTATCTGCTTCAAAGTTTGACCAGGCTTAATCTTCATACCATATTTTTAAAGAATGAAAAAAGAGGTCTCAGTACAATTAAACAACAGTAATAATTATTGATAATAGCTTGGGGGGAAGTGTTAAAACCATCAACTATAATTCTATTCCCTTTGATCCAACTATACCCCAAAAGGGTAGACTATAGGGCTGTGATGGCAAACCTATGGCAAGCTTGCCACAGGTGGCACACAGAGCCATTTGTGCGGGCACAGGAGCCCCAGCCAAACTTACCTGCACTGAGCATGCGCATGCCTCCCAGCTGATTTTTGGCACATTTGAGGCTGTTTTTGCCTTCCCGGAGGTTCGAGGGAAGCCTTTGCAGCCTTGAGAGGCTGCAAAATGGGCCTTCTGGAAATACCAAAAGTGCCTCAATGGGCCCATTTTCAGCCTCCCGAGCTTCCAGAGGTTTCCCTCAAGCCTCAGGGAGGGCGAAAACAGCCTCCCTGGGCTCCAGAGGCCCTCCGGAGGTTGAAAACGGGCACTTCCGGTATTTCCGTAAGGCCCATTTTTCGGTCTCCCGAGGCTGCAGAGGCTTCCCTCGAGCCTCTGGGAGGGCGAAAACGGCCTCAAACAGGCCAAAACAATCAGCTGGGAGGTACGCGCATGTGCAGTGCAGGTAAGGGAACAGGGCGGGAGTGTTGTTTGTACATGCACAGGGGGGGCACATTGCATTGTAGGTGCTGGCACGCACGCGCTTTCGGCACACAACAAAAAGGTTCACCATCATTGCTGTAGGGTACCCTTCAGTTCGTGGACTACACCTCTTACAATCACTTGCCATGAAGCATGCTGGCTTTGACTGATTGGAACTGTAGTATAAAACACCTGGAAAACTTTGTGTTTTTGCTTTGGTTTGTTTAAAAAAGGCTTCTTACATTTAGCTTTCCTTCTTTCTCAACAAAACATCACCACAATGATTATAAATTATTGGAAAACAATATACAAGGGCCTCTACATCTATATTAAATTATATCTGAAATATTAACTATTTAACTTCATGTTATTTCCTTTTCCAGAAACTACTGCAGTTAAACTTAGTGCAGTACATTTTTTCTCAGAAATAACAGGATAACAGTAATACATAGAAAAAAAGATTTCAACTGGAACTGAGTTGAATGCAACAGAAATAAAATACAATGAAAGCTTCTAAAACATGTAACAGTTTTTTTGGAATATGTTTTACAGCACCAATAAAACTGTCCATATACAGGTAATTGACTTACAACAGTTCATTTAGTGACTGTTCAAAGTTACAACAGCATTGAAAAAAGTAAGTTATGACTGTTTTTCACACTTACAACCATTACAGCATCCCGATGGTCATGTGATCAAAATTTAGAGGCTTGGCAACTGATTAATATTTGTGACAGTTGCAGTGTCCGATCCCCTTTTGCAACCTTCTGATAAGCAAAGTCAGTGGAGAAGCCAGATTCACTTAACTTGTGTTACTAACTTAACAACTGCAGTGAATTGTGGCAAGAAAGATTGTAAAATGGGGCAAAATCGACTTAACAAATGTCTCTCTTAACAACAGAAATTTTGGGCTCAATTGTGGCCTTAACCTGTAATCTTCAAGGAGCACTCCTATGCATGCTAATTCAATAATAGATTCTACCAAGCTTAATGGAATTTACTCTCAACTATCAGTATAGATATCATTCCAGCCTTCAGTTAGTTCAGAAAGGCTTAAACGAATGGGACTTTTTATATTCACTAATAACACATAAAACTCTTTATAGAAAAAATTAGACTTCTAACTCAAGGGAGCGAACACACACAATTCTCCTTCCTCCTATTTTCCTCAGGTCAATAGTGACTACTAGTTCTCCAGTACTTCACCAAATAATATTTTCTATTCCAACAAAGGTATTAGGCACTGGGTCTAGAAATTCTGCATGCACTCCAATCCTAAACCAAGCTCCTTTCTGAAATCTGACTGAAGCGTTTGAACATCACTTACATTCAGAATTCAGTCAAGAAAATACATTTCTGGAAAGCGTCATGCCATATTTTTAATAAACTGAATAGGATTTAAAAAGGATTGGGTATCTCGTCAAGCATTTGTCCATGAAGGCTTGTAATCCTTACTGAATGAAACTGCTTTTTTTAGAGGCACCACCTTTTGATTAAATAGCAAACAAGAAAGGACAATCAGTCCTTTCTTTTAATTCTAGAATGATTAGACATTTGGCATGGATCTGCTGCTGTTCAAAACAGAATATTAGATATTAAGGATTCTCCTCCATCCCTCAGGACAACTGTTTTTCCCCACACCCAACAGTTGTTTTCTAGTAATATCCATGCTTTGGGACCTTCATATAATCAGAACGGAGATTAAATATAAACGCAAAAATTCCTCGGGAATATTTTATTTTTACAATTCTAACCCCCGAGGCCAGAACGTTCCCACCGGCCCTTTAAAATGGGAATTTGGCTGGACTTATTACCTCTGCTGATTTCTATTTTTTTCCGACTTTAAATTTACATTACAGACACCCAGGTAAGGCGGATGACGATCCCTTTTCGTCTTCTCGCAGTTTGAGCATGAAACAGACTGGTATTTCGAGGGACGGAACTACCATCTATTTCTTCGTCTACCATAAACAGAGCCAGCAAACCACAAGTCTGGTTCTTCCTGGAAAATATCACACTGTGGTCGCCGAAGCGAAGGGGAGAACTGGTCTTATTTCACTCCAACAAAAGAATTTCCGTACAATTCCTTCGAAGCATTGCCTCCTCGAAGTTCTCTCTTTTTCGGTTCGCTCCGTTGCGTTCCTTTTCGGTGCCACCTTGGCTTCTTTTCCCCCATTCCCGCGCCGGCCTACCGGAGTCCCTTCCCCTTTATCTCCCGCCAAGTCCCTTGAAGACAACGTTTCGGACCCCGCTCCACAAGCCCCTTCCCCCATTTAGCTGCACCGGACTCAAACCTCTTAAATCTATCCCGTGTTTTCGCGCGCCTCACCCGTGATGGCGGTGAATTGCTGAATTAACCCCTTCAACACTGAGGCGGCAGCAGAGCCCCCGGGCGCCGCCATCTTGCCGCCTCTATCACCGAACAACACTCGCCACCTGCCGGTCTTAGTGCGCAGGCGCAGATTTACCGCGCCCCAATTCCCTTGCGCGCTTTCAATTTCAATATCAAGCGTAATGAAGAGCGTGACGTAAAGGAGGAAAAATCGTTTCATCCTTCTCGAAATGGTATCGGAGACTTCAATTGCTGTCCTCTAGTGGCCGGAGGAATTCCGTCCCGGCGATTGACAATTGTCTCAAGCCTCCTCTCAAAAATTTTGCAGATTTCTTCGCCTTGTCCCAAGAGATTTCCTCCTTACCTTATTGCTACAAATGCAATTAACCTAACCAAAGAAACCTAAGTGTGTATCGTCGGGGTCTTCCCAACTGCGCCATTCCGCTTGATGGCGAGACGTGAACTGGAGCGCAAATACGAGGACTTATTAAACGAAGCTCCATAGAATTCTAATGCAGAAAACAGTAGTTTGCCAGTAGGAAAACAGAGTATCAGGCTTACCTATCCTGTGCAACAAAGGAAAACAATAACTATTGTTTTTTATAACAACTACTATAAAAGCAGGAGGAATCAAGAACACATCCTATTAGTGTAAAAGTGAATGAGCTGCCTGAGAACATTTTACTCCTCCAATCTATAGGAAAGAACCAAGCACTTGACATATACTCTTATCAATTACATCTTTTACACAGCTTTTCATGTATTTTATGTATTTCCGTACTGCAAGAATCTCTGGAAGCTAGTTTTGCCATATAAAATTATGGTCCCAGCATCTTGAAATTATCATTGGTGGTACTTTTTGATTGTGAGTAAAAATGTGATTTCATGCTGAGAACATAAATTCAGACTATGGCTTTTATCCATAACTATATTCATTCTAAGAATTAAAAATGCACAGGCACATGCCATGATGTATGCAAGAGTTTCAAATGATTTTAGTTTTAAAAAGATGACTGAGAGGTTTCAGATAAATTGACCCAAAACCAGAGGATTTTGAGAAATATACCAATATTAGCTTGGGTATAAGCACCTAATCCATTTTCCCCCAGAATGCAATAATGGCAGTCGAGAACAATTCAAAAAATGAAAACCCCAAAAAGATAGAAAAGAATTCTAAATGTAATGTTTCAAAAATAATTATTTTATTTGCTTATTATATTGTCACTTTTAAGTAAATCCTTCAGATTATTTATATATATATTTGTCTAGCTACAACAAAAATTTCCATTTTTATAAAGCTGAACAAAAAACAAATGGGATGGAGATTTCTAAAGACACAATTGACTGCAACAGTAAACATCAGTACTTTAGCCTGCATTTTTTTGTTATTGTTACTATTTTTTCTAAACATTCTGAATGCTGAGATATCTTACCAAAGTTTTCAAGAACTGAAAATAATTGTGATTTACTTATTGAATATCTTTGGTGCCTCTTATACTTCTACAAAATATCAAATTTAAAATTCCAAAATCATTCCAATGAAAATTGATTTGTTGTCTTGTGAAATCCATAAGCCACATTACTAGTAAGGCAAAAATACAATTCCAGCAAAGAGAAAAATAAGAATGTATCTTATGATATGTCTGTCTTAAAGATGGCATTTATCACTGGCATTTATCACAGACAACAGTGGCATGGTTATGACAACTCAGCAACTATTATCATTCAGTACAACTTAAAATTGAGAGTAATTGATACCATCTATATATTAAAGAATAGACACAAGAATTCAAAGAAAAAGGCACAGAACAGATGCTACTGTTTCTGGAACAAGTAACACATTAATTCTGGAAACAGCTAATACTAGATGAGATAAATATATGCCAGTTTTTCAGAGTAGCTTTTTCAAAATTTTCTATTAATATACAGTGGTTTGGGTGAAATGTTTCAATTTGTTGCAGATTTCTTAAACATCTGGATAATCGTCCTTTGTTTGATTGGCAACTCTACATCCTTTAAATCAGAGCGGAGTTCACAACTCAGATTTCTATTTTTCACAGATGGTTTTGTCTGATGTTTGCTAGAGGTCTTCTCATTCTCACTGTGGGAACGTCTCTGTGGTTTGGGTCGATTTATTTCTGTCTGGCTGTTTGAAGCCTTTAAGAGTTTGCAGTGCTTCCCAACAGCTGGGGATTTTCCAGCTGCCTTAGATGGTGTAGGACGCAAATGATACTCATCAGGGGAGCCTTTTTTGCGATTTAGTGTTTTCAGTTCTCTGTCCATTTCCTTCTGAATTTTCAAAGCCAGACACCTATCTTCTTCTTCCTGTTTATATCGTTTGTAAAGCTGCTCCTCCAAATATATCTGCTTTTGTATATCGGCCATCTCTTTCCCTTCTGTTTGTACAAAAGTTCTTCTTCTTTTGTCATTCAAATATGAATCCCCTGTCCGATCGGTGGGAGATTCTTGAGATTTTCTCTTTGGAATCTCTTTAGTGATCAATGAGCAATTCTGGTTTTTATTTTTAATTAGATAGTTTCCCATTACCATTGTTTCTTCACAGGTTGTATCTTTGCTGTCCAGTTGAGTACTAGATGTCAAAGAAATAAGGATTTCTTCATTGCTGTCATTTTTGTGAAGTTTCAGCAAGCATGTACTTTCTGTAAAATTTTTATTTCCAAAGTCATTGTTACTGGAACCACTGCTCATTGAGAAAAAATCAGCTTCATGGTCCTCTCTATTAGTAACACATTCCTCTGACTGACTCCTGGAAGAAGATGACAATTCAGAGCCATGACAGTTGAATTCAGATGTAGTACATATATTTAAATAAGAGTCTGTTGATTCTAAAGGGAAATCTTTAGGCATTTTTCCTTCTCCAATTGTCTCTGGAGATAGTATGGTTATATCATCTTTTATTTTGTCATCTTCCAAGGTAAAGTGAGTTTTAGGTTTAATGCTTTCCTGGAAAAAAAAACAAAGGTCAAAATATCCATCATGCACTTTTTTGTATAGGAAAAAAAATGATTTTTGATGACTATGATCATGAAACATTGGAACATTAAAAATTTGATGGTACTTGACTTTCAGGTAAAAATTTCAGAGAATTAAAACTTTCCTCGGGAGAGAGAGAAAGGGAGGGAAAAAGAGAGTTATATAGAAATGTATATAGTATCTATATAATATCATATAACAATGTATATTAATGACCAGTGGTGGTACAGTGGTAAGAATGCATTACCGCAGAGTATTTCTGCTGACTGCAGGCTATCTGCAGTTTGGCAGTTCGAGTCTCACCAGCTCAAGGTTGACTCAGCCTTCCATCTTTCCAAGGTCGGAAAACAAGGACCTGGATTGGGGGCAATATACCGACTCTTTAAACCACTTAGAGAGGGCTGTAAAGCACTGTGAAGTCGTATATAAGTCTAAGTGCTATTGCTATTTCAATCTATATAGTATTATATAGAAATATATTCTATATTATATAGAATTTAACTTCTATAATTATATAGTGTTATATAGAAATGCCAATACATGTACCTACCTCAGAAAGAGAGTCAATGTTTTCTTTTTTTAATTCTCCTAATAGCAACTTTGGGGGAAAGAAACCACAAGACTTTGGAGATAAATACCTTAAAAACAACACAAAAGAAAATAGATAAATGAAGCTTTTATAGCTTGCAAATAACAAGCTATATGTTATATTTACTTTTGAATATAACGTAGCATAGGTTTTACTTCATTTCTCAGAAAAGCGGATATAATATGTAACCCTAAGCCTCTACTTCTTTTCACTGGGTTAGTCTGAATTTCTGTATATGCATTTAGGAACTGTGACTTGTTCCTGCTCTACTCTCCAAAAAGTTATCCAGATACAATTTACTTATTTTTAGTATTTTATTTCTATAATTGGTTGAACATTTTTAAAAATTGTTTGCTGTCTAAGGATCGTTCTTGGATGAAAGGATAGGATAGAAATTGAATAAATATGACTAAAGTAATAAAGAAAGATGTTCAAGGTGCTGATGTTTCACAAATAACTCACAAATAAAGTGAGTTCAAGGTGGTGATGTTTAAAGCCTATTATGAGCGCATATTATGGAATGGATTAGGGTACATCTCTTAAATAAATGAGAACTTGTTATCCTCAGGTTATTCTAAACATTTTGCTTCTCATCCTTCAGTAGCACTAATTCAGACTTTATAAAGCAAAACATATACCGGTAGTTGCAATGTTTATAAACAGGTTCTAGCACAATACTGTTTCATAAGGTATTAAAGCTCAACTGTCTAATTATTATAAATCAGTCAATAAAATGGCTAATTTAAAAGTGAAAGACAATTTGACCTAGTGATTAAAGCACAGAACTAGTAGTGGGAAGACCTATTGGTCCTGTCTTAGGCTCAGAACCCACCTCAAGAGTTAAAATTAAATTTGTTGCTAAGAGTTAAAATTAGACAATTAGATAAAATTAGACAACTCAACAATCACTGCAGACCTAAATTATGATTTACTGTTACACAAACGAGGTTATTAGCAACTCTTTCCCTTTCTCTTCCAGCAGAGCTGCAATAAAACCAGCAGCTCTGGTTTCTGTAATCACAGTGTAATGTTATATCTAAACTTGAACAGTAATTAATAATGTAAACTATGATAATAGCTCTTTGCTTTATGAACATGATTTGCCTAGTAAATTAGGTTCTATCTTCCCAAATAAAGTTTTATTAGGACTTAATTATATGGATATCCAGAACATCTATGGAAATTCTGTCATCCAGGTCATTGTTGTCCCAAAGATGCTTTTTGAATAGGCAACTGAACTTTGTTTTTCTAAGAAAAACAAAGTCCAGTTGCCTTTTCAAAAAGCACCTCTGGGATATCCAGAATATATTTTATACTATATTACCACATAATCCAAAGTGTTTTTTAGAATTTTTTAAAGTATGTATTGAAATGAAAGAATTTGCTGCCTGCCAAAATTAATGCATCTTTCTGAAACTTTTTTGAGAAGTTTTCAAAAAAATGAAATATCAGTTGTAAAAAAAAAACCTATAAACTCTTATGACAAATTTCTCTATTTATACGATACAAATCTGCATATACTGTACTAATCTAACTTTGACTATGTAACCGAATTTTACTTACTTCTTAATATCACCATAATTGCTTGATTTGGTTTTCGATGTTTTGCAGCAATCAGAAGGGGACGGGCCAGGTACCGGACTGCTTTTAACAGACTCTTCAACAGATCTGTTCTTCAGTGCCAAAAAAAAAAAAAAAAACACATAATAAAAAGTACTGTATTTTTGGACTATAAGATACTCTGAAGTATAAGACGCACCTAGCTTTTGGGAAGGAAAACAAGATTTATTTTTTTTTTGCCTCTGCCTCCCAGCAATTTGTCTCCTTGCAGCAAACAGCCTCGTCAGCTTCAGCGAAGTCTGATTAAGCACCAGCAGCTGATTGTCAGTTGGATCTGCCTCCCGTCAACCAGCTGTTTCAGGCTGCAGGGATCGCCATTGCCTATTTCCGCCTCCGCGCCCCTCATTTTTGGCTTCCACATCCCATTACAACCTCTGCGTGTCCCTTTTTCTGCCAGTTCTGATCCCTGCTGCCTGGAATGGGCCAAAAACAGGGCATGCAGAGGCTGAAAATGGGATGCAGAGGCCAAAAATGGGGCACACAGAGGCAGCAATAGGCTCTGGAATCCCTGCAGCCTGAAACAGCTGATCCAACTGACAATCAGCTGCTTGTGCTAATCAGGCTGTGCTGAAGCTGACTCGCTGTTTGCTGCAAGGAGGCAAATTGCTGGAAAGCAGAGGGGAGCCAAAGGGTGGGTGTGGCTTCGGCAACATTTGCTGTATAATACGGAGACATTTCCATCCACTTTTGGGGGGAGGGAAGTGTGTCTTACACACCAAAAAATATGGTATGCCTATTGCTATTTATTATTATTTTCCTGATCTTTTAATATATAATCCAAGGCAGTGAACATACCTGATACTTCTATCAATTTTTCCCACAACAAGCCTGTGAAATAGAATGGGACTGAGAATGCGACTGTCACCATCTGATTTTAACACCATATTAAGCTGCTTTACAAATACTCCAGTGGTGATGTGCACAATTCATCCTACATTTTAAGAAATTTATTTATTCATTTATTCATTCATTCATTCGTTCAATTTATATTGTCACCTATTTGCCCATGGCGACTCGAGGTGACTTACCCAATGTAAAACCATATTTAAAGCAAAAAATAAAAAACGAACAAAAAGAATCAAATAAATTAGTAAAGTATAATAGAACAAAATTTGGGGGAAAAAACAAAACAAAAAAAACAAAATAAAAAATAAAAACCAACTCCCATCCCCTGTATACATATGTATTCAGGCTCAACACAGAAAATGTCTTTTTTGTATCAACAGTGCTTTCCTGCCTACTGTACCAAAATACTATCATAGTCGCATCACCCACCAATTTATGTGACAGATTGTCAATTGGAAATTATATTGGCTTTTATCTAACTTAATCCAGGTTTAAGGAAGGACGACATTTGTTGTACAGCAAACTATTTATGTGCCTTTGTCTGAATGTTCATATTTTTCTTTTATAATTACTTTTGGAATGGGGTGTTCTCAACTTCTAATGAATAAATAATTTCTTAATTGGAAACAGCAATCGTAATGAAAAATAAAATAAGCATAGTCATTTATATCCCAAATAGGTAGTATTAATTTAATATATCCAAATTATATCAGATCAGCTAGGATTGTATGCTAGTTATTTAAGAAGTTAACTAAAATTTTAAGACACACAACACACACACACACACACACTTGGTGTACCAAAAGCCAGACTCCATAGGTCAAGACATGATCTAAAGGAGACTTTTGTGTTAGAATTTGAAGCATCAGAGAAAATAGTCATGTGTCGAACAAGGAAATGTTTAGAAGAAAATTACAAAAAATTCAAATGTTCAGTGTAATTTTATATAATAAATCGTTTATGGGGCCTGATTTTTTTTATACACCCTGTTCTCAGTGAACAGTAATGGTCAGGCATTGGATTGGCACCAGGGAGACTCAGGTTCTAATCCACCTTCAGTACAGATCCTCAGTGGGTAAATCTGGAGCATTCACCCTTTCCAAGCTCCCAAATTGCTGCTGTAGGGAAAAAAAATGGGGGGAGTGCCTTATATGTCAACGTACGCTCCTAAATGAAAGTCAGGATAAAAATCTAATTGATAATCTGCTACAGATAGTAAAAAAGTAAATCTTTTAACAATCTGATAGCATTTTTTACATCTATCTTGATTACAGAAGAAAAATGAAAAAGCTTCCGATTAAGTACTCTTTCAATGCTAATATTCAAAATGCCATTTAAGAAAACAGGAAGATTTAACTAAGCCTATTTAGCTGTCATTTTGGTTAAACTTACCAAATTTAAACTCAGTTCTTGGGCCAACATTTCATCTAATAGCAACTGGTCTGCTATCTTTTTTTTCTTTTCTTCTGTTAACCTTTGCTCTTCTTTCTCTTCTGCAAGTAGTCTTTGAATATATTCTTCACTTGCTTTGCTCTCTTCTTGCTCAAGAGCACGGCGTTCTGCTTCCACCTAACCCCAAAATTTATCATTATTTATCATTAATAATTTATAATTATTAAATTTTTAAACAAGATTTGAAAAAAGATACAAAGGTATCTTTTCAGTCTAGTAATTACAGAGGAAAATTTGTTTTATGAGAAAAGATAATATGAAATTTTAAACAGAACAGACGAAAGTATAAAAACATTGTTTAGAAAGATTTTAAAAATTAGAAAAAGATATGCAATTGAATTAAGAAAGGAATGAGACAATTTAAAATAAGGCTATAGGAAGTAAAGAAAGGGAAAAGCTATTGAAAAAATTGCAAAAATAGTTATAAGATATGGATTAGAATGTATAAGATAAGTATGTATTGAGTTTATGTCTGTATGGAGAAGTGATAACCCGAGGTTATGTTGTTTTCAAAAAAAGATATTTTATTTGTATTTGTATGTTTTGTGAAAACTTAAATAAAACTTTTATTTAAAAAATTTATCATTATTTTTAACGTTCTTTTATTTTATAGATTGAGCATTTTCATTTTTTTATTTCAATACTTCTATATTTTGGCTTGGCTTAGTGAGTAAGCATTTAGTGCCCCAAAACAATCTCAATCCTGGTCTTACTCAGGATTTTATGATCCCTTGCAAAACTGCCTATTATGCAAAACTGCCATTCAACTTTCTACTTTACCTTAGTGATCTCAGCTTCATATTCTTTCTTTAATTCTCCAGGCTTACTTAAGCAGTGTATTGGTTGCGGCATATGCACTAGACCAGAAAACAAAGCAGAGACGAGACAAAATATGGTTATTATGATACAATTAAGAATACAAGTTGCAATTTAACATAATATATATATGAAACCATGCACTTAAATACAATCCTTTTCAATCAACCTGGGTTCTTTGCAATTTAGTATGTCTAATATATACAGTATATAAAAAAAAATAAAAATAAAGCTTCACTGGACATTTATCCAGGAAAAACAAAAAGATTTGACCTTTAACAATGGTGACTTACATTTGTATCACTAAATTATTTTAGTTTAACAAATAATTCAACAAATCTAAAAACCTATACTGCACTAATCTATTTGCCCATACTCCACAAAGAAGAGTAATCTATGACCTTAGAAATGTATCACTCTTATCAGTTATATTCTTAAAGTTAAAGGAGACCACCAAGTGAATTATTAAGTATCAAATTTTCTTGCTTTTTTTCCTTTAAAAATTTACAATAAACTTATGAACACCAAAGGCAGGCCTATATGTGAACCAAGCTAGTGCAATGTTTTACTTACAATAATTTTCTAGGTCCTGTCCATTAATTCTGCGTTGGCACTCTTCTGGAAAATGTTTCTTAATTTTTTCCCATAATTCCAAGTTAATAAGAGTGTTATTGCGAGTGTTATATCGTGCCCAAGATGAGACACGCCGACGACAAAAAGGGCAACACAAACTTGCTTTTTCCACAGTAAGTTGAAAACAGGCATTACAAAGAGTATGGTGGCATGGTAGTGTGACTGGTTCCACAAAAATATCCATGCAAATATTACAATGGCAGTCAGACAAGGAAAATGGGGTCTCTGATACTTTTGGCATGTTCAATCCAGGAAGGAAAATTATTTTGTTACTACATCATCAGCATCTGCAAAAAATATGTAGTACATTATTTGTTTAAGATCAGTAAAAAGGTAGCATTGTGTACGTTAGATCATTTTTCATACAATCTATGAATGTTACCTGATACCTAAACTTTATTACTAAAAGTATAGTACAATACTATTCTATAGAAAAAGCATAAAAACGAATGTATGAATTATGAGTAAGGAATGTCCTCACATATTACATTATTATTAGGCAGTACTAAATTAGGCAAATACATTGTTTCCCAATGCAACTTCCTATTCCCCTGAGGTATTTCTGGATACTTAAAACTACAGAAGTTATAAGATATTGCTTCACAATTATGTAATTCAATTGTATCAACTACTTTTTTTAAAGAAAAAGACAGTTACCCGATTATTTCCTTATAGCCTAATTAAAAGCAGTTTTGCCAGTACAGACTATTCTAAATTGAACTAAAGTCATCTGATACTAATTGAAAATATTTTCAGAAAATGAACTGTTATGTGGGTGGAACTAATTTTTTAGACAGAAATTGTGATTCATTACTAATTTTCATACATTCTGCTTGTCTCTAACTTGAAGCTCATGTTATACGTGTCTGATTTCCTAGTTCAGCATTTGCTTAAGAGGTACAAGGGCAGATAAATACGGTGGCATGCAGAACATTTAGATTAAAAGCCTCATCATGTAACTGAGGGAACAAGAGGAAACGACCACTAGCCTTAGTGCATTCTACTTTCTTCTCAGAGCAAAAATATGGGAAAGCTCTCCAGATGGCCCATCCCCAACCGAAGGCTCATTTCACAGGCAGAAGCTGTGTACTTGTGCCTCTCTTGTTAGTGGAACATTAAGCAAGGATTGCAAACACCACTACTGACAAGGTCAATATGGGAGGATTTTTAAAAAAAATCCTGGACTCAATACTTATTGTAGAGTTTTCAATGGAACATCAAATTAAGCAAGAAGCCAGATCAGGTGGAAGGATCGGCCCAAGTTGATCTGAATTTCAACTACTTAAAAGTGTGCTGTCTACATTCTGTATCAACATACTAACAAGAGTTTTGTAAGCACAGATGAAAGAAGCTCTATAGATTCCCACAATGGATGAATGAATGGCAAAGTGAATGGAAATGTAAACATAAAAAAACCCTTACCACCAAATAAGGGTCCGGGTTCTACCACAATTTCTTGTTTTTGAGGAATAGGTGCTTTCATCTCTATAAAGACAAAAAGTACATAATAGTTTGAAAACATCAGTATTACTCAGGCAAGAGGAAGGTCTGTTCTTCAAACCTATATTGAAACCATGCAATGGAAATTATTCTTGTGATTACACAAAAAGAAAAAATTCTCAACTGTCTGGACCAGGGGTGTCAAACTGGATTTCTTCGAGGGTCGGATCAGCATTGTAGTTCCCCTCTGCAGGTTGGCAGAGGGAGGGGACAGGCCAGGTGCCTCCTGCAGCACTGCTGGCCAAAACAGGGCAGAGGTCCGTGTGTGGCCCCTTTGCATCTAGTTTTCATCCTCCCCGGCCTCCTGCAGCACTCTGCAGGCCGAAAAAGGGCCATGTGCCCCATTTTTGGCTCATTTTTAGCTTGTTTTTGGCCCATTTTTAGCCTGTTTTGGGCCTACTTTCAGCTGGCAGACTGCTGCAGGAGGCCATAGAAAGTGAAAACGAGGTGCAGGGGGACTGCACAAGACCCATTTTTGCAGCCAGAGGCACTGTGGGCCGGATTTAAGCACCCTGCAGGTTGGATCCAGCCCGAGAGCCTGGAGTTTGACTCCTGGTCTAGACCTAGTTTTTACCATTTTATGTCACAAACAAGACACAATTCCGGATGTTTGCACATTTTAATTTTAATAAATCTGAAGAATCTCTAAAAAGGAAAGGGAAGAATCAACCTGACTATAATTACTTGCAAAATGTAAAAAATAGTTCTTAAATTAAACCAGTATACATTCACTGGAAAGCACATAAACTAGCAGTTATTTCAAATGCCTCTTTGTTAATGAGCAGCAAGCATTGTTAGGAATTCTAGCGGTATCAGTTTCATTTCTGCAGTTCTCAACTAAAACAATTTTTCAATGCTTCTAGATTGGATGTATGGGAGCGTGATGGGTCAGCAGTTAGACACTGAGCTTGTCAGCTGGAAAGTTGACAGCCTGGGTTCGAGACCAAGCAGTAGCAGAAACTGCCATTACTTGCCCCAGCTCCTGTCAACCTAGTAGTTTGAAAGCATGCAACGAATAGAATTTAGTGGGAAGGTAAGTGTTCTTCAGCGTAGTCATGATAAACTTATGACCATGGAGCCACAGTAGTTGAATACAGTATTGTAGGTTAATTCTGCCCACAGCCTAGAATTTTATCTTGACCGTGACTCATGGTTGACCTAGCTTTCCATCCTCCTAAGGTCAGTAAAATGAGGACCCAGGATGACAGTGTTGTAAACCACTCAGAGAGCGCCCTAAGGCTCTATGGGCAGTATATAAGTCTAAGTGCTGTTGCTATTCAGACAATGCTGGCTTCCTCAATTATAAAACAGAAATGAGCATCAGCCCCTAGAGCTGGACAGGAGTGGAAAGGAGAAACCTTTATCTTTAGGCTGGATGCGAGAGCATTTGTATCTAACAATATATGCAGGTAGTATGCAGTTCCATATTGTTTAATAGAGTAAATGAGAGGAAAAATTTTATGGAAACCAAATAATGCAAAAGAAAAAAGTAGACATCAATTCCAGATAGAAGTGCAAATACTGGGTAAATGGAATATTGAAATGTTATTATAGAAACTACAGATGAATTACAATCAACTGCAATGACACTAAAGGTTTATTTTCAACATTGGCATTTGTGGAAGGGGAATAATGTTCAAATTGAATCTGGCTTCCCCCATTGACTTTGCTTGTTCGAAGCCAATTTCCGTATAATTCCTTCGAAGCATTCCCTCCTCGAAGTTCTCTCTCTTTCGGTTCGCTCCGTTACATTTCTTTTTCGGTGCCACCTTGGCTTCTTTTCCCCCATTCCCGCGCCGGCCTACCGGAGTCCCTTCCCCTTTATCTCCCGCCAAGTCCCTTGAAGACAACGTTTTGGACCCCGCGCCACTTGCCCCTTCCCCCATTTAGCTGCACCGGACTCAAACCTCATAAACCTATGCCGTGTTTTCGCACGCCTCACCCGTGATAAGGAGTAACTGTTTCAATATTTCAACACTGACGCGACGGCAGAAGCCCTAAGCGCCGCCATCTTGCCACCTCTATCACATCAATAACACTCACGGCTTGCCAGTCCTATTGCGCCGGCGCAGATTTACCGCGCCACAATTCTTTTGCGCGCTTTCAATTTCAATATCAAACGTAATGATGTAAAGGAGAAAGTGTGTCGTCCTTCTCGAAATGATATCGGAGACTTCAATTACTGTCCTCTAGTGGCCGGAGGAATTCCGTTCTAGCCCTCTTTCACGCCTCCTGTCAAAAATTTTGCAAAGTTCTTCCCCTTGACGCAAAGAAATTTCCCCCTTACCTTATGGGACAATTGCTGCAAATGCAATAAATATAAACCGAAGAAACCTAATTGTGTAGCTCCGGGATCTTCCCAACTGCGTCATTCCGTTTGATGGCGAGAGGTGAAAAACTGAGCGCAAATTGCAGAATTTACGAATTGGAAACAGCCGTTTAAAAAAGGAATACCGTCCCGCCTATCCTGTGCAACACAGGAAAACGATACTTGTATTTGAAACAACTTGGATCAAGAACTGCTACAAAAGCAGGAAGGATTAAGAAATTATCCTACTGTTAGTGTAAACGTTTCTGGCCAGTGAAATGGCCAGTTTAAATGCCTGAGAGCATTTAAACTTCTCCAATCTATGGAAGAGAACTAAATCAATACTTCAGATTAAATACTTGACATATACTTGATTATATCTTCTAGACTTTAAGATTCATGTGTTTTGATTTATGTATTTCCATACTGTAAGAATTTCTGGAAATTACTTTTGTCTTGTAAAATGATCAACTCATACTGAAATTATCACTGGCAGAACTTTTTGATAACAATTGCAACTTCCAAGTTTTTCAAAAAAATCAGTCCCTCCTGAGTAAAATGATTTCATGCTGAGAACATTACTGATAAATTCAGATGATGGCTTTTATCCATAACTATACTGATTCTAGGAATTAAAAATAAGCAGGCATGAGCCATAATATATGCAAGTATTTCAAGTGTTTTAGTTCTAAAAAAATGACCAAAGAATTTCAGACAAATTGACCAAAAAACAGAGGATTTCAAGAAATATACACAAATACTAGCTTGAAAATCAATACAAGCACCTAATGACAATTCAATTTTTTTCTTCAGAATGCAATAATGGCAATAAAGAACAATTCAAAAAATGAAAACCCCAAAAAGATAGTTAAGAATATTAAATGTAGGTTTGAAAAATAATTATTTTATTCACTTATTGCACTTTCACTTTTAGATAAATCCTTCAGATTATCTTTTGAATGATTTATTGAACCCAGCTACAACAAAAAATATCATTTTTATAAAGCTGAACAAAACACAAATAGGATGGAGCTTTCTAAAGGAAGGCACAATTCATTGCAACGGTAAACATCAGTACTTCATCCTGCATCTTTTTGATGCTGCAGCCTTTCTAAACATTCTGAATGATGAGATATCTTACCAAAGTTTTCAAGAAATTGGAAAACAATTTTTAAAAACTCATGTACAGGCTATAAACAGCTGAGTATTTCCCAACTACCTTAGATGTTGTAGGGTGCAAATGATACTTATCAGGGGAGCTTTTTTGCAATTTGCTTGTTTTCTGTTCTCTGTCTATTTTCTTCTGAATTTTCAAAGCAAGATACCTATCTTCTTTTTCCTGTTTATATCATTCATAAATCTGGTTTTGTATATTGTTCATGTTTTCTGTTTGCACAAAAGTTCTTCTTTTGTCATTCAAATATGAATCCACTGTCAATTCAGTGGGGAATTTTTGAGATTTCCTCTTTGGAATCTTTTTAGTGATCAGAGAGCAATTCTGGTTTTTATTTCCAATTGGATAGTTTCCCATCATCTTTCGGACACACTCCTACTTTCTCAATCTTCTACGTACCAAGTATGGCCATTTGATAGTGATATTTCACAACAAAGAATGTTCTTTCTGCACCAACTCAGAAAGCTCAAACTGCCCAAGGAGCTACTGATAACAGTTCTACAGAGGAATTACTGAGTCTATCATCTGCACCTCTATAACTGTCTGGTTTGATTCTGCAACCCAACAGGACAGACACAGACTTCAGAGGATAATTAGGACTGCAGAAAAAATAATTACTACCCACCTGCCTTCAATCGAAGACCTGTAATATTGCATGAATCAAAAAGAGGGTTGTGAAAATATTTACAGACCCTTCACATCCCGGACATAAACTGTTTCAACTCCTTTCCTCAAAATGATGCTATAGAGCACTGCACACCAGAACTAGACACAAGAACAGTTCTGCTAAACAAATAATTCCCTCAACACTGTTCAACTATTTACAAAGTCTGCACTACTATTACTGTTAATCTTCTCATCACTCCTTATCACCCATCCCCTCCCACTTGTGATTGTAGGACCATAACTTTGTCGGTTGTATCCTTACGATTTATATTGACTGTTTCCTAGTATGATTTGATTGTTGATTGTACCCTATGACTACCATTAAGTGTTGTACATTATGATTCTTGATTCTTAACAAATGTATCTTTTCTTTATGTATACTGAGAGTATTTACACCAAGACAAATCTTTGTGTCCAATCACACTTGGCCAATAAAGTATTCTATTCTATTCTATTCTATTCTATTCTGTTCTGTTCTGTTCTGTTCTGTTCTATTCTATTCTTTTCTATTCTATTCTATTCAGTTGAATATTTGGCAGCATGCTACATCAGATAGAAACTCATAGATTTGCGCCACAAAAAGTTACATGTAATATACTAGATCCACAAGACTAGGTCTTAGGTATCAATAAATAAATAAATAATTTCCATCTATTTGAGAATTAGACATATTTAACATTGGAAACAACAAAATGAAATATATGGTAACTATAGTCTCCCTCTGCTGAATAGAATAGAATAGAATAGAATAGAATAGAATAGAATAGAATAGAATAGAATAGAATAGAATAACTTTATTGGCCAAGTGTGATTGGACACACAAGGAATTTGTCTTGGTGTAAATAACTAATGGAAATATTTTAAAAGAGGTTTACACAAAGTGGAAATGTCTAGCACTTACATTGTACTTTCTGGTGTTCACACTTCACAAACATTATCTACATAATCTGTTCCACAGCTTTGTAAAGTAGGCCAATATTGCTTGCCCCAATTATACATAAACTGAGAAATTTTACATCTTTCAATCTATTTGAATTAAATATTTTCCCTTATACAAGACTGTTTCATGTATTTCTGGAGGAAAAAATATTGTTTCAGAATATATTTGCAGTTTAGATATATCTTTAAACTTTCTTGTTTTCCACTACATTAATAGCACACAACAAGCTATGATGAAGGACTTGATTATTCACCACTTTGTTTACAACAGATTGGATGTCTTGGGTATAATCTTGCCTTAGTTTATCAGGGAAGTAATTTGCATCCTGGCTGTAGGTAATGAAAAATGTACAGAATACTTTAACATCTTCTTCTTGGAGTCCCAATATCTCCAATGCCGATTCCCATGCTGACTTAATTCTTTTGTTTTTATCTTTCCTCCTCAGAACAGAAGATAGTGTAGGCAATACTCTGGCGAGATCAGGAATGCTTTCTACCACTTGAGAATGTAGGCACTGAATAGTTTCACAGATATAGCTATAGAAAAGGTTTATCTCCACAGAATTAAATCTGCAAAAAGATGTTTAAAAAAATGATTTACCTTTACCATTTATATCAATAAGCCCACAAATTATTTCCATTTCAAAGTAAGTGCCGTTTAGATGAAAATTACTTCCAGATGTGTCTTTAGGGTTGCAGCCTAAAGCTGTAATATTTATATTTAATAAGGTCTATCAAAGTGGAATTCAGCCACATATCTACGGTTCTATTAATTTAATATAATTCCCAACATTTAAAGTAATATTTATTTAAAATAGGCATGTAAAATTCAATTTTCTTTTCAAGATTTGGGTAATGCTCCAGAACTAAACTGTTTGGAATAAACATTTCATAATGGAAACAAAGTTGTTGATGTTTTTAAGCCATTCTGTTAAGTCTTAAAGCTAGCATTATTCACACCCTTGTGTATTCTAGATGTTTTAGATTACAACTGAGAGAATTTCCACTCAGTATGAGAAGTCCCAGATGCCAACCATGCTTCCAAGAGAGTTTGAAGTTAGTGCAGCATATTGGAAGGGCACAAAGTTGGGAAAAGGTACTTAAAATAATAATCTATTCATTTGTTAATAGTCTATTAACTGTTATTGTTAGTTACATGTTTGTTAACCCAAAAGAACACTTGTGATACCATTACCAGACAGCCATTATATTAGTCCAAAGTTTTTATTAGTAACCAATGCTTTCTTTTTTCTTACTTGTCTTCTAGCAGTGACGTCCACATCTCATCTTGCTCTAGAACCATATTCCAAAAGTCAAATTTCTCTGATAATTTCTGAATGCCAGAATCTAATACAATATATTGTGACTTTATAGTTTGCAGCTTATTCTCAGTTCTGGTAAGATTCAAAAGCCAAAGGAAATTAGAATCAAGACCTGACCATTGTAAAGAATGTAATTCAAGTTTGACCTAGAGAGCTCTTTTATAATAGATGATTTATACTTGATGGACTGCTATATGAGTTTGGAACTTAGATTCTTAAGCTTCTATGCATAATGGTCTATATATGATGTTGTTATAACGCTTCATTTTACTTGCAATCTTTTCCCCATGTAGAACCAACAATCTATTCTACTTCATTGTTTCTTTTGGATTTTTTTTTTAAATATACATATAATGAAATCTTTCTGAAAATTTTAGTAACTCTTTGGGAAAGTCAATTTCTTTTCAGCTTTATGTAGTAAAATGATATCTTGGTACATTTATTTTCCTAAAAATACAATTTAATCCATATTGATCGACCAGCTGTATAAACATATAGTTTATAACTAAATCACAAGCCAGTCAATTCTTTTTCTCCAGTGTTCATTATAAAAATAATTATTCTACTCTATAGAATTGCCACAATGTACAAGCAGATAATGCAATCATTTCAGTTATGTATAATGTCCCATGTTTAACATTGCTGTCCCAAAATGCTAAATTACTGAGCAGCTATTTTTAAAAATCCTTCTCCAGAATAAAGATGAAATAAGTGAAATGCTGCTAATTAGTTTATGTTTCAAATTATTTTGGTATTCCTGAATAAATAAAACAATGCATAATAGAAAGATTCAGTTTCTATTTTAAAATAGGCATTTTCCATCATCCACCCTGGTCCCTGATCCTTTGTAAGTCACCACTTTTTTAAAAAAGAATAATTTCAAGTACAAAATTACATTTCTTTTATCTGAGGCATTATGGAGATTTAAGAAGCAGAACAGGTCAGGGGAATAATATTCAGAAGAGATATTTAAGATATGAAATAAGCAGTTCCAAGACCCTTCCCAAACCTTTCCAGAAAAAGTCAACTCCCCCCCACTCCCCCTTGAGACCTGTTTAATGTCTTGTTCAGGACACACAGAGATAAAGACTTTTTGGCCATCTTCAGGAATAAGGGACGTATGTTTCAACTGTCTCTTGACTTCTGTTTTGCAACGGACAGCAGTGATATACCCAGTAATCCAACTGGTGCTGAAGGTCAGTTTTCTCTTAAAGCTTTTTATAGCTAGGAAATCCAAATATAGAACATTAACACATACTGTACTCACAAGCACAATGTTTATTAAACTACAGCAGGGGTGTCCAACCTTGGCAACATTAAGACTTGTGGACTTCAACTCCCAGAATTCCTCAGCCAGCTGATGGCTGAGGAATTCTGGGAGTTGAAGTCCACAAGTCTTAAAGTTGCCAAGGTTGGACACCCCTGAACTACAGCATGGTAATTAGAGTATATTTTTCCTTCTTAGTTTCAAGCAAACATACATTAAGTCTAGAAACATCATATGGATCCATGAAAGGAAATCATAATGAATTCTATGAATTGGCTCATGTCACATATAGGATTGCTGTAATTAACCATTAATTTTAGATTCATATCAATTTATAATATAGTAAATTTCTAGTGCTTTGAAACTTTTGGCAGCGCACAAGTTGCTGAATTGCAAACCGCACCAATACTCATTTAGTGGTATGCTGGCTGGGATTCTGGGATCAGCAATAATTGAGTTCAGGGTTCTTGTTCCAACCAAAATCTTCTTTTTAATCAAGATGTTATCAATGGTGCTAAACAAGCTCTTTTTAGGGTATTTTGTAATATTGTATTCAGATCTAATGAATCTGGATCTAGATCTTAACAGTGGTGCTTAAATTTTTTTGTATCCTTTGAATTTTCAATATTCCTTCATAAATATCACCTAAAATTGTTTTTCATACAAGCTCTAAAACTAGATAAAGAGCATCCAATTAAACAAATGAGTCATTTGTTTCATAGGCCTCATCCAATACTTATAGTGTAAGTCCAACCTGCCTGCAAAAAATCCAGAAACTCAAACATTGCTGGATTCAATTTCCAGCATAAGCTAAGGACTCTGAAAGATGTAGCTCAGCAATACTTGAAAGTCACTCTATATCCATGTAAAACATGCTCTAGTAGGAGGTGGAAAAACAATACAATACAAAAATAATAATTATAAATGGAGGCATCTTTGATATTTAGTATTATACCTTTTATTTCTAGTATTGTATTGTATTCACTGATTTCATTGGTCCCCTGCTTTAAATAATACAAATGTTTACATGTTGGTAGAGGACTCAGATAACCAAGCTATGTTCCCAGGAATAGGCAAACGGAATCCTACCCTGCTACGCCACATTACAAAATTTGCTGAGGTTTTTTTCATTATGTATTTTCCCTTCTTTATTATTTGTTCACTTATCAGTTTGTACAGATGACTTTAATTCTTACCATTGTATATGTTCTAAGCATTTATGAGCAGGGGAAACAACCATTTCTTAAAGGCAGGAAATGTTTAAAATAAAACAGCTAAGGTCTTCCTTAAAATTATCATGTGATGGTTCACATTTATTTTTACATGTACTATTTAAAGCACAAGCTAGTTTTCGGGGCTATGTCCTAACAAAATACCTTACAAAAGGTTAATTTCTTATGGATGGATAGATGGATGGATGTATAGTTTGTCCCACACTCAGCAAGACATTCATGCTGGATTTGGCATTTTTATCCTTCCGAAGAACCTGGGATAGGCAGATGTGGATGTTTTATGCTATTAGAGGTATCATCACAGAATGTAAGCTGTTCCAAGTAGAGCTGCTTTTTGCAATTGACTGATGGCGAATTTGTCAATACCAATCAGATTCAAGTGGTGCTCCAGTTGTTTTGGGATTGCACCAATGGCATCTATGACAATTGGTGTGTGTGTGTGTGTGTGTGGTGTGTGTAATTGGATTATTTTAAATAAAATATAGTTTTCTACTTTATAAATTATTTAAGAAAAAATACACTTCATTTTCATTGTTTTTCTTCAAACAATAACAATTCCCCATCTATACCAGAGATATAAAGTTGAACATTAATGATCTTGAATTACCTGATGTCAGCTATTAGTACAGCAAATGAAATGTCAGATCCCATATACCGGACTTTTTGATAAAAACAACTGGTCAGCAATTAAAAGAGCCAGGTTGCATGAATACTGCAATAGAAGCCTTATTCTGGACTGAACAACCTACAATTGCCTGAATTTGCTGCTGATCCTCCAAAACACTAATGGGAGATATTTACAAAACTTGTTCAACTGCTTCAAGCCATTTATCACCTCAGTTTTTATTTAACCATAAGAATGCAGAGAAGAGTAAAAAGATGAGTAGGGACCTGGAGGATAAAACATATGAAGAACGGTTGCAGGAATTGGGTACGACTACTTCAGTGAAAAGAAAGACTACGGATCAATCATATTATAGCAATGTTTCTTATCTGAGAGACTGCCACAAAGAGGGGGGTCGACCTATTTTCCAAAGCACCAGAAGGCAAGACAAGAAACATGGATGGAAACTAATCAAGGAGAGAAGCAACCTAGAACTTAGGAGAAATTTCCTAACAGTGAGAACAATTAACCAGTAGAACAGGTTTCCTTCAGAAGTAGTGCGTGTTTCAACACAAGAGGTTTTTAAGAAGAGACTGGGCAGTCACTTGTTTGAAATGGTATAAGGTCTCCTGCTTGAGCAGGGGCTTGGACTAGAAGACATCCGAAGTCCCTTCCAACTCTGTTATTCTGTTATTTTAAAAATCTATTTCTGACAGTAGAATTTATAAGAATATAGATTAAAACAGACAAGTTTTTATTTTTCTTGTGTTTTAAAACCCAGTTCTTTATTCACACACACACATACACACACATAAAACTTTTACTGCAAGCTTACCAGTAAAGTCACACCAATTAGTTATTCCAAAAGTGGTACTATATATATGAACTACCAAAATAATTTTTAGCAGCACGTAGAATTGGCTTATTTATGGGAGGTAGTAGGAATAATAGCATTAGAAAATTAGTAGATTCAAAATACTGTACCAGAGACTGACTGCTTACTTAATATATATGAAAGGTTCAAGAAATAGGATACACGGATATATCACTACTTTGGTCAGCAACCAATATTTTCTTAGAACCATTAATTGACATATATGAAACCCAGTTCACTTTCTCTCCATGTTCAATGGTCAGTTTGGGTGAAATCGATAGACAATCATTTGTGTATTCTGGGTCCATTTTGTTAGCTTTCTTGATGGCATTTTTCTTTTTGTGAACTGCCTTGTTTGGACTTTTCAGTTTTCCAATTTCACGGCTAACATCCCACAATAACACTTTGCCATCATTTCCCCCTGTAATAAAGCAATACATTTCTGGCAGAAAGAAAATCTGTGACACTCCTAATAAATGACCTTTAAATGTTACTTCCTGTTCAAATTTGGAACCTGTTACTCGAAAGATTCTGATTTTACCATCTTCAGCTCCGCAGCCAAAAACATTGCCACAAGTAGAAACAGACAATGAATGAACCAGTGGTGGGTTAACGAATTGGCCAATCCCTTGCTCAACTGCTTCTTCTTGCAGATTCATTATCCATTGTGGGCGAGTTTTTTGCAAGTTCCACATTATAATCTATAAACAAAACAAAACAAAAATAATAATTAAGATTTCTTAATATAGAAGTCATGTAAATGTAAACTTTCATTTATACTGTCATGTTCCCCAGAATACGAAAGTGATGCAGCTCACATAAATTATGCTTTAGTTTATAGATCAAAAGCATATGTTGACTTAAATTATATCTAATATAGAATTACTCTCATTTCATTATTTTTGAAATGTATAAACTGTTTCAAAGGGACTCTTAAATTTTTAAAAAATATATTCATTTTATACCAAAAATGTTTTTACTGTATTTACTAGAGGTCTTATATCTGCCAAGTTGATCAAGCTATTTTATGCTTAAATTATAATTTTTCCAGCACAGAGGTTACACATAAGCTATGAAAATGTTTAAAATCCATGGGACAAACTTGTAGATGCTGCTTTTCAGGGGCATCATAAATGTTATAAAATAGACCCTACCAGAAATTAAGTTGGCTTCTATAGTTTTGTTCTGGAAAAAATATTTTAGAGAGCTTATGATAATTGGAAGGTTTCTTAGTGGTGTAATTTATTTTGTTTTTTATGGTTGTATTGTCTGCTCTTAATTGTTATAATCACCAAAAGTCTCTTCAATTGAGATAGATGCAATTATAATAAATGAAAATTAAACTGCTACTCTAGTATATTATTTAGATAGCAAAATATGTAAAAACTATTTTTATAAGAGATACAACTACTACGGTAGAAGATAAGTCTTAACTGCATAATTTTTTCATCAAGTTTATTACAGATGGTTCTTGATAAGATCTAATCTCAATCTAATAGTAACTTAGTTGGTTTTTATTCATTCATTCATTTGGAGTTTTCCATTCTCTCTATATCTGTTCCAAACGATAAATCAAAAAGTAATCTCATCTAGCAATAATGTCTGTTTTGTTGGTAGCAATTTACCATTGTGTATAAATCCTTTTCTTTCCTTACCTCTCAGCCTTAATCAATTTCTATCTTCTGCATCAATCAAAGTAAGGTTTCAGTTGGGAAACAATTCTGATATTGCACTCACTACTTCAGCATTAGATTTAATTGTGCAGCTGATGATAAGATTATGAGCAAATTACGTAACTTTTAGAAAGAATTTTAAAAAAATCTGATTCAGTTGACCTATTCTATACCTCTATAGAAAACAATCCATTTTGGAACAATTATGGCAATTGACAATTGCTATAATTATCAGACTCTAAGGCTCAACTGATATATATCATATCTTTATACCTATCAAATCAATGATATATAGTAAGCTTTCATCTACAGTTGATCACCTTCATATCCAGGCCACATGAAAGAAGGCTTTGTGGCCTCTGGGGTCGAAATGCAGTAGATGCACAAATATTTGAATGTCGTTGCAGGCAGCGACTCAATTTCTTGCTTTGTAAGTCAATTATCTTTATGGCTCCAGAATCATCTGCAGCAGCCAAGAAGCTGTCTGTTTCGTTTACTGAAAGACAGTTGATCTCTTCCTCATTTACGTGGAAACATTCAACTGGCTCCTTGAGACACCTGATATCCAGCATGCTAATAATTTCCCCATGAGAAACATAGAGTCTTCTAGAACAAGTGGGAGAAAATACAATGCTAGTGACATCCTCTGCTTTTTGAAGTTGTACACATTCCAGTGGATTTCCTTCAGCATTCCAAATTGTGAGCTCTCCTCCTTCTGCTCCTGAAGCCAATAGACCGTCTTTGCTCACATTTAAGCTAAGTACTGAAGAAGAATGTCCATTGGTCCACTTTTTTGCCATATCTCAAGGCAGACTGAAAAAAAAATTGGATCAGCAGGGTAACATTTTGTTTTGATATATATTGAGAAATCAAAAGGTGATTGGATTGTGTTCTTTTTAGATTAACTTACTCAAGTAAAGCACCTACTGGTTTGAACACTTAAACATCTAAATTCCAGTATACTGACCCTTAAATATAATGCTCTTGCAATCACAATCAATCAACACTAATATTTTCCAATGTAAACTTAATCATTGGGCACAATGTAAATAGTAGTGTGTATAAACACAATACCTGTTTGAGATAGGCCGTTCAATAAATACATATATGGTCTTCCAAATACGTGTATAGCAAATCGGCGACCTTAACCCATCCACCACTTTCCTACTTCACTCGATACTTGCATTACCTCAAAGCAAAGAACCAATTTCTCCTGATCGCAAACTGTCTTCCGGCAAAGAAAAGCTGCTGGGTCTGTTTAGCATTCCCCCTTGACAGATGAAGTTTTTGCGCATGCGTTTAGGACAGCATCCTCTTTCTCATGCTCAGCAATGCCCTCAACCAAAATGGCCGGCTCACGTTCAAGGCCCTGCTCCATACCGCATGACATTAAAATAAAATAAGTAAAAGGTTCGTTGTCCGAGAAGCCAGCTTCAACAGAGGTCCCTAGATTGTTCTTGCCTCTGCCGTACTCGGAAATGTAAGATCAGGCGCAGACGTTCCTGACGCCTCCATATAGCAAGCTCTATCAAACAAAAGAGCTCATTTCCGCCTCTCTTTGCCGGCAACAGGCGAGGAGTTCGTTGGCAGGGTAGCACCTCCTACTTTTGCAGCCGACGGCGCGCGCCGGATTGGCTCTCTGGTTTGCTGGTAGGCTCGCGGTTTCTATCCGCCTTCGCCTGGGCCGGGCCGGTCGGTTTGGAAGGCGTGCGCGCGCAGAACGCGAAGGCCGGTGGTCAATCGCCTGAGGCTATGGCGGCGGCTGCCGGCAGCGGCGGCCCGTCGAACTCAGCCGCCGCTGCTGCGGGGGGTTGGCGGCTTCCCGGTAGGGTACTCGAGTTCGTCTTCTCCTACTTGGACCTCCGGGAGCTACGGAGCTGCGCGTTGGTGTGTAAGCTGTGGTACCGCGTTTTGCACGGCGACGAGAACAGCGAGGTGTGGCGCAGCCTGGCGGCTCGCAGCCTGGCCGAGGAGGCGCTACGCACCGATATCCTCTGCAACGTGCCCACCTACAAGGGCAAGGTCAGGCGAGCCTGTAGGGCGACGCTTCAGCGCGCTCCGTTCCGTGTTCGTGCGCAGGCACACTGAAGGTGGGGGTAGGGGGTGGGGGTGGCCGAAGAGGCAGCCTCTCTCGCCAATCCGCGCTCTCGTCAAGTCCGGTGCAGCTTCCCGGCTCCATTTCTAGCCTTTCGGATGCTGAGGATGGGGTGGGGGGGGGGGCAGCATGGGGGACACGCCTCGCGGGGGCCTGGGGGGTTGGGGGCGGGGGGCTGAGCTCACGGGACTGTCGGTAAGGCAGGAGAGGAGATTCATTCCCTCGCTTGCTCAGAGATACTCTGATAGGCTGCTTTGTTCAACCCCGAGAGTGGCCGCGGATTCCAGAGTTGTCATATATACTTTCACCCGCTTTCGGGTTTTTTTTTTTTGCTGAGCGTTGCATCGCAGTAGTGGGGTAACCGTTCCTCCTTATCCACATGTTGTGGCCTAGGTGTCTTTTGTATTGGACACTGTTCCCGCTGCCTCAAGCTTAGGCAGCAAATTTCATCCTACCGAAGCAGGAGGAGTTCATGGAAGAACTGGAACTTTGAGCCCTTTCTCCTCTGTGATCCCCCGGCTTTTTGAGAATTTCTCATTTTAAACCCTTTGTAGGTTTGCTCCTTATCTTCTTTCATAAGTCCTACACCTTTATCACTTTACACATATCTTAAGATGTATATCTTTCGTAGGTCATATACCTGCAAAAAGACATTTGCCTTGTTTTAATATTATATAAACCACTTTGGCAAGCTATTTCTGAAGAACCAAGTAAAAATGTTGTAAATAATTAAAATAAATGGACTGAAATAAAGAATAACAGGAAAATGAGCCAGGTACTGTCTCATATGCAAAAGTCATCCACTAGCAGAACTGGAAAGGAGAGCCACTGTAAAATGATTCCTAACCTTTCCTTTCTCTGCTTAACTGTTCCTGAAAGGCTGAGTCAGGCTCCTGCTCCTCTTCGTACAGTTAGACTGAGGATGTGGAATTGTGACACGTACTAAATTTTGTTTTATTGTCTTTTATAGAGTAGTGGTAGAGTAAAACACATCTTTAAGTTTTCCACACTTCACTGAGAACTAATTGTTGCACGTGTTCTGGTACTGATGAATTTTTAGTTACTCTCCTCTCAGAGTGACACTGCAAACTTACAAGTAGCTCATTACAACGTGATATTCACAATCTATTTCTAATGTAGTCTTCAATGATTGGGCTATTTGTGCTAATGCTGCATATGCAGCAAAAACCAAATATAATGTCGCCAACTAATGTTTGAACAATTTAGGCTTTTTTGTGGCGATGCTTTCTAATTTCTTATCTCACATCTGCAAGTTGTACTTCAGAACCTTTTCTCTGTCTTATGACCATAGTTTTTAAGTGTTAAGTCTTCGTCTCTATTGCAGTGATAGAAAAATAAAATATTCAAGAGTGAATATAAGCATTTGAATAATTAACAGTCTTGTTTAGCTTGAAAGACCTTCTCAACTTGCCTATATTTTTTAAAACACTTTTTTTTAGGTACGTTCCTTTCAGCATGCTTTCAGCACCAATGATTGTTCCAGAAATGTTTATATTAAGAAGAATGGATTTACTTTGCACCGGAATCCCATTGCTCAGAGTACCGATGGAGCAAGGACCAAGATTGGCTTCAGTGAAGGCCGTCATGCTTGGGAAGTCTGGTGGGAAGGTCCTCTTGGTACAGTGGCAGTAATTGGAATTGCTACAAAAAGAGCTCCCATGCAGTGTCAAGGTTATGTGGCCCTCCTGGGGAGTGATGACCAGAGCTGGGGCTGGAATTTAGTGGACAATAATTTATTACATAATGGAGAAGTTAACGGCAGTTTTCCACAGTGCAACAATGCCCCAAAATATCAAGTAAGTGAAATTTGATGTGTTTTGAAAGGGCTACATCAGTGTATAGACAGATTATTTTTTTCTGCAATTAACTTCATTTTTTCCTATTCTGCCATGCTTAATTCCATATTTTCTCATACTCCATTCCCTTGCATGCTAAAGATCTGCTTTAGGGGATACCTTAACTTTGGAAAAGATTCTGAGGCTCTGTGTGGACATGGGAAGGAGCAAAAAGAATCCTTTCCCCTGACAAGCATTGCTTGCTCAACAAGAAATGGACTGTTGGTTCCAAATTGGAAGCTACCCAGAGTTGATTAGAAGATGAGCAGCTATTTTGTTAAATAAATATAAATAAATAAATAAACTTTAATAAACAAAAAGGTTTTCTTAAATTTTGATGAGCTGAGCCTTCAGGAAATCTTAGGCAATGTTTTGAATGAATTTTGTTTTAAGTTAAAATTTTCTGAAGTTATTTCAGTCCCTCTTGTTTAGTAAAATTTATTCCAAAAAAAGTATCTGTAGTTAAGCCAGTGTAATCATTTAAAGCACCATGCACTACATAAAAATGGCTGTACCTTAGTGTACTATTAACGTTTAAAATTTATGTCCAAAGTACCTAACTGTATTTATTGATGTTAGTTTTTTTTCTTGTCATTTGCCATCTTCCCTCAATCTTTCCTCTTTTTGTTTACAGATAGGTGAGAGAATTCGTGTTATCCTGGATATGGAAGACAAAACCTTGGCTTTTGAGAGAGGCTATGAGTTCTTAGGAGTTGCATTTCGAGGACTGCCAAAGACATGTCTGTATCCAGCAGTGTCTGCTGTATATGGCAACACTGAGGTGACGTTAGTTTATCTAGGAAAACCTTTAGATGGATGATATTTTGTGTTGTTTTACTTTGTTTTTGTTTTTTTAGCAAGAACATGAAAATCAAGTGGACAATGTGGAGAAACCTGCATATTGGTTAACAGGACAGCATGAGGAAAATACATGGATGTGTGCTCAAGAAACCAAAACTTGTGCTTAAAAAGACCAACTGTTCTTAACAGAATGCGCTGACATTTCCTTTTTCTGCCGGACCAGAAAAATTCCTCAGGGTGGGGGGGTTTACAGTTAAAGAGGCAGTTAACCACAAGCATGTTGCATTGGATTTTGTACCAAGAGTGGCAATATGGAATCCTGTATATACGTAAGGAATTGTTTCATAGAAGTAACTGAGGAAGTTATCTAATATGTGAGAGTAATGTGTTCTGTGGAAAAGGTTTCCATTTTGAGAGCGATTTGTTTTTTTCCAACTTTTAATCCAGTGTGTTTTACCAAAGGTAATAAACTTATTGGATTTTATTTAATATATTTTGATTGTGCTGGGAAGCACTGATTCTGGAGATCAGTTTTCCAGAGCTATATTGTGCAGCTATACTGAAGTGTATTTTAAAAATTGTTTGTATAGAAACTAAAAATTGAATGAAAGAAAGGTTTGCTAACCAGTATGTAATTTCTTAAATGGAAAAACCACTACATGTCAAATGTCAATCTTTGTCTAGGAATTTGACAAGTGCATTTCTGTTTTGTTGTGCCACATCTCTTTTGGCAAAAGGAGCAATGTATGCTTATTAAATAATGGTTGAGGTTGATCAATAGAATAGTATATACATGGAAGGGTAAAATTTATTTCTAATGTATTTTGAAAAATTAGGTTTTCAAAGTATTTCCAAATAGTGGCCATTTCAAAATATTCAATTCCTTAAATTAAATAAACTGAAATTAAAACAGGGATTCCATTCCTGATAGTCAAATTTCAGTATGGATGGATTTACTTTTGTTAAAATTTATTACAAAGGCTGAAAAGAATTTGTAAAAAGTTAATGAATTTTTTGTGGTGGAAGAACTTGTGGATGATAGAATGATTGTCCTTTCTCACAATAGTTTTTCCCCAGATTATCCTAGATCTTTGCCATTCCCTGGTATCCATTGCCTGCACAATTTATTTTTTAACTTTGTAATTCCACAGGCCAACTGTTGGTACTAAATGTTATTTTGTTTATAAATCTATTTATTTAAAGATATTGATAAAACACTTTCAGTGCAATCCTATGCATATTTCTTTCAAAAGCATATCAGATGATATTCAAAGTTTTTTCCACATATGCATAGAATTGTGACATTTGGGAGGAAATAAATATTGTTTACATTGTTTTCTACATAATCTAAAATATGTGGTCTTGCAAACATCAGACAATTCCTTAAATATGAAAAAAAAAATTAAAGATATTTTTTTATTTTTGTTCAAGCCAGGAAAGGCTGATTGAGTTCTATGGGTGCTGCTAAATACAAGTTTTATATATATTTTTAAAAGGCTTCTAACCTATGGCTGGAAAGTACATTTACTCCATACAAAGTTTGGAATGGTAGTATTTAAGCCAGCATCTGATTCCCAATACTTGGCAGTAGCTATAGACATGCTTGTCTTTTTCATTTCTGTTGTTTTTCTTGGCTTAACCAGCTTGATATCTGTCCTTCACCTTGGCAAATAAAGTCTGTGGCAAAAAGATGTTGGTTAATTGTTCTGGAATATATCTCTTTTTTTATCAGCTTTTCTTTTTATAAAGGCACAAGACAGCAATGGTGATTGCATTAGGCTAATTAAGAAGAGACTCCCAATCATTATAAGCTACTTACAATTTAAGAAAAGGAGAAAAGGAAATTTTAAAAGGAGAAAGACTTTACTAAGAGAATTCAGTGTTTGCATGTTCTGACCTATTTGGGTTTGGCTCCCTTCTTTTCCCTTTATCCATTTATGCTCCAATACCACTAAGCTGTGTTTGAAAGCAGCATGTGTGGATTAATGTTCTTAAAATGTTTGTTCTATATATGTAGGATTTCACTGAATAGAAAAAGTTCATTCCTGGCATGTTTCTACAGAAAAGTCAGAACAAGACTGAAATGACTTTTAACATGTGGTACTAAGAAGTCATGAATAAAATGGGAATAAAACGGGATTTCCAGAAACAGTTTATTTATACAGTTCTGTAAATGCATCACTATGGTAAGTAAAACTCTGGCATGGGCTGATATAAAAATAAAACTTTCATTAAGTTAATTGTCTCTGTGCAATCTTGGATAGATTTTTCTCTGTTCTTATATACAAAGAATAATCTGTCGTTTATAAGGTTTCAGGGATGTGCAAAATTCACAAATTTGGTAATATTTGAATACCAGAATGATCTGTTCCCCTCCAGATCATGTCCTTTTGGAGGTGTTAAAGTTTTTGGAACTTTCTATTCCAAATCTTTGAGTTTTGCAGATTCTTTAAAGAAACTTCTTCCCTGTTAATATAGGATGTCTTTCCTTCTTTCTAATACATGTTGCATAACACTTTTGCAAATTGTTCCCATCTGTCCCAAGGAATTATTAACCTATGTATATAGAATTCTTATAACTTATTACCCGAAGACCAATTTCAAGCTGTACAAAATACTGAAATAAATTGCTAAAATATGAAAGTGTTACTTTTGTGTATTGTGTTTTATAGTTGAGTACACCATGAATACACCAAGTCCATGATGTTTGGTATATTATGTATTTATTAGATTTTTATCCTGCTTTTATTTCTTTTTTTTAAATAAAGTTTTATTTGGGTTTTCACACACAAAATACAAGTAAAACATCTTTTTTGAAAATAGCATGGTCCCGGGTTGAACTTCTTTATACAGACACAAAACTCAATTTCATGCTCCTTTTTGTATTCTATTCCATATCTTATTACTATTTTACATTTTCTGTATAGTTTTTCCCCTTTTAAATTTCCCAATTTTATTTTGATTATCTCATCTCAATTCAAATCATTATATTTATACTTTTGTCTGTTCTGTTTCAATTTCATATTGTCTTTTCTCATTAAACAAATTTTCTCCTGTAGTTACTAATTGGAGTATGACACCTTTATATCTTTTAATTACATCCATTCAACTCTTATTTAAACTTCAATATATACCTTAATGTTATGACCTTCAATATAATACAAAATACATAACTTCCAATCGAATTCTGTTTGGCACATTCTTATAATACATACTATATTCTTTAAAAAAAAAAGAAAGATTGTAAATATATGTAATTATAAACCCTCATTCCATTCCAGTTCAGTTCTATCATTAATAATAATTAAAACCATAACATCTTTAACACTTCTTTTCAATTAAATATCATACTTCCTTAAAAACACATATAATCTCCATAATTAATTTTTCCCCTATTTCTCTTCACATATGTTTTATAAATCATTAAATATACCTTTTGTTACATTTATTTATTGACAAGCATTCCACTGAATTACGATAGCTATTTTATCAGACATTTTAATCATACATTGTTTCATATTTTCTAAAATCATTTCTGCTTCTAATATAACCATACTATCATATGTACCTTTGCAGAATCCCTTTTTCCATTAAGTTTTCACCCATTATCTCTAAATAGACCTGTTTCTCTATATTTTGCTTCTGTCCTTTATAACTTCTTTTCCTTTCTTTCTTCCCTCTCATCTTCTCCCTCCCCTTTTTACCCCCTTGTCTCTCTAGTTCTAATTCTCTCTTCTGCATTTCCCTCTTCTGTTGCTTTCTGATTTTATACTTATTTTTCACTCTATTTTTTTTTGGAGTTGTTTTTCCCAATCTTAAACTTTCCATTCTCTTTCTCCCCTTTCCTTTTTTTCCCCCATCTAAGATTACTTGTTCATTAAAGATGGCTTCTTCTTTGTTGCAATCTTCTTGTTCTGCAGGCATTTCTTGTTGTTTCTCATAATTCCAAATCTCCATTTCTAAAAACTGAAATACGAAGCCAAAAGAACCTCTCCCTTCTTGTGCATCTTCTTTGTACTTTTTAAGTTCCATTTTCAGTTCTTCTAAAAGTGGAGCCATTTTAAAAAGTTTTAAACAACCACCCGATTGATTTTAGTCATTCAAAACAATAACCAAGAATCCAGAAATCATCAAGTAATCCAGATAGTCCCGAGTTATATCTTCTTATTTCTTTTTCGACTTTCTCTTCTGGGGGTTTTGTTGCGATATTTCAGTTAGAATGTATCTTTTGGAAGTCTTGTTGAGATTTTGCTGTAAGTTCTTTTTTAATTCCAGGCAGTCTCCTCCCTTCCAGATCCTGCCCTTTTATTCTTCCTCTCCCCTTTCCTGTTTTCAAAAGCTTTTAATTATCCAGAAATCTTTATTATCCCTTTGACTTTTTATTTTCAGCATTAAATGCCTATTGACGTCAAAGTGGATTTTTTTCCAATTTCTTGCTTAAGTCTCTTAGCTGTCAGTATACGAAAAGGAGAAAACCAAATCTTTTCCCTTTTTTCTCTCCTTCGCAGCTTAAAAATCTTCTTAGGGAACAATGTTATTGTTTTTTAACAGTTTCAATTCCAGGGTACCTTATTTGTTGCTTTTGCTGTTTGACCCGATCAACCAAAACTTTCTCTTCTTATCTTCCTCCTGCACATTCTGTTCCGGTCGAGTTCTTCTTTGTGGTGGCCATTTCTGACCACCGCTGCAACCACCTTCGGGAAAGGGAGTAATGGCCAGCTGGGGAGGAGAGATGCGGCTCTCCTCAACCCTGCTGGCAGTCTCCCCCATCTTCACCACCTCTACGGGGTGGCTTAGCCCTGAAACTAGCTGGCTCGGGGCGCTCCAGCGGCGAGCACGGATCGAAGCCTCGCAGAGACGAGGTTTCGGTCTGTTGCTGAAGAAGCTCAAACCGGAAGTCCTGCTTTTATTTCTTTATATGTAACTCAGGCAGTGAACATACCTAATAGCAATAGAATTAGGAGTTAGATTTATAAGACCCTCTCTAAGTGGTTTTCAGAGTTTACAGAGTCAGCATATTACCTCCAACAATCTGGATCCTCATTTTACTAACCTCAGAAGGATGGAAGGCTGAGTTTACATTTGTTAAGTTCAGCGCTGTCTTACAAAATTTAGTTTAATGTTTACAAGTCAAAGCAAAACTTAATTTTTTAGGTTTACATTCAAAACCATAATTATTCTAGTGTTGTTTCCCCCCACTCCCCCTACAATTGCTCCCTGAAAGTTTTTGGATAATGCAAATTAAATAGCTTTCACAAATAGTACGATCCAAATAATAGATCACTGCCAAAATCTGGCTTGAATACTCTATCTGTTATAGGTGACTACTTCGAGTTATGACCACAAATTAGACTAGAATTTCAGTTGGTAAGCACAGAGATGGTTGAGTGACTCATACATTTATGACCTTTTTGCCATGACTGTTAAGTGAATCACTGCAGTTAATTGAATTGTGGTTGTTAGTTCAATCTGGCTCCTCTCATTGATTTTGCTTGTTGGAAGCCATCTTGAAAGGCCACAATTAGTTATGTTGATTGGGAGACTGCAATTGTCACAAATACACCCTGGTTGCCAAGTGCCCAAATTTTAATCACACGACAATGGGGACGCTGTGACAGTTGTAAATAGGTGGAGTGACTGGGTGCCACTGTAACTTTGGTCAGTAAAATGGTTGTAAATCATAGACCATCTGCACCTGCTTTGCTTCCGAGACTTTCAGCTAGACAGTGACACTTGCTAAAGCTACATAAGCAGATGCATTCATGAATTCTTAGTTATTACTGATATTGATCTCATATGCCCTACCCGCTTATACTTTTGATCTGTTTCATAAGGCCCACAAAATTGGTTATCCCAAAAAAATTGTGCATGCATGGTTTGATTTTTCAATCTTTTTCAATCTGGAAACTGCAGCATCCTCTTTTGTGCCAACCAAGAGGGGAGTTGGTGTTGACACTGACACAAATGAAGTAGGCAGTATTGAAAATTCAGTCATATTTTTTAATGATGGGGTTGGGATTGGGGGGGGTATATTTGAAATAATTTTATGACAGCTTTGCATTGCTTAAGACACCTATATTGTCTGAAACTCATGCCCATTTTCTGGAGATACAATCTGTGCTCGGAGGCACAGGTTGTCTGTCCTGATCTAAAATAATATTGTTTCATTAGTAGAAATAAATGACAGTAAATGTAATTCACCTGGGAACTGTTCTGTTTTTTGAATACCTGTAAAATATTTCAAATATAATAAAAATATTATATAAAATATATTTAACGAAATTAAAATGTTACCCAAGTAGAATTCTAACATTCTTCAGTTGATGGTACAAGTTAGAAAAGTACTTTAAAAGTAGGTGCAGAATGTAGGTTGGCAGAGGCTTTTTCAGTTAGTGGACGTATAAGCTTACTGGAATGTCTGCTTTTAGTGTGCTAAGCTATTTGAAAATAAGCAATGATGTTTCATCAAAGAAAACTAAATAGACTACTTATGAAGATTTGGAATCAGAAAGTAACAATACAAAGATGGAAACTAGCTATCGAACAAGAAGATTTTATTAAAATTGTGATCCTTTGTATGCTGCTAAGAGAATAATTGTAATATTTCTTTAGACTCAAACTGCTTTTTTTCTGATCTGAGTACTGTGAAGAAGTCCTCCTAAATTTCTAACAGCAGGGGACAGCAGTATATCACAGAAAAGCCAACTAAGTCACAAATATAGAACAATGTGGTGTAGGTACAACAAATGCTTTCAGACAACACGGAAAGTGGTATCTTCTAGCAAATTTTTAATGGAGAAA